AACATTATGTTAATTTAAGCGTACAGAAACGTTGCTGTTGTTCCAGCAAAAATCTTATTTTCACTTTACCGAGTGCCTAGTAGGTAATTTGCAGATTACCTAGATAATCTGAACATTACCTAGGTAATTTGAGAAATGGAATAATTTTCGCAGCTTTAACGGATCACCCTAGTAAATCTGCAGATTAGCTAGGTAATGCGCACATTAACGGATTTCGAGCTTTAGCGGTAACATATATAAAAATAACACAAAATGACTTTTAAATTAAATACTTTATTTTTTAAATATTAAAACAATCCGCTTAGTTAAAATTGCTCCCTACCAGTAGCTCGTGGATGGAATCTGAGACGATCTTGGTTGGTGTGCAGTGAGTGCATGCATGCCAAATCCCGAGGGTGCCGATACCGGTCAATGTCAAATGCCTCTTTTGTCGCATCACTAGTATATCTCAAAGGAGGCGACAAGGTTGTTTTAAATTTTAAACGTTTCTCACCATAGCTGTAAAAATCTAAATATGTTAAACTTAATAGATTGTCCGTCATTCGTTTTCTAACTAATTCATTTTAGGACCAGGTGCTGTCCACGGAAATTTCCAAAATATACAACTTTTCGGTCACTCTCGTTGAACTGGAAAAATTTCTGTTTATATTATGTTTAATATTACGAAGAAATCAGTCCCCACTATACTCGGCTAGAGATTGGATCGGTTAAGCTTTTGTAAAATTAAGTAAAATTTCGGCTTTTTCATCAGGGTTTTGTTTATGTCCCTAATTCCCTAATAGCTTAATTATTTAACTACTTCTTAAGTAGAAATAAGTCGGAACCAGTTACTTTGTACTCGAATATTTGTAGTCTTGGGAAAAAAGTGGAAAGAAAAATTTTTATGACAAACGGATACATAAATCGTAAATTTAAGGAAAATAAATTCTAGAGCTTTTTCTGTACCTCGTGCATCTCTCTCATTCATTAAATTTAGTTGTAANAGTAGAAATAAGTCGGAACCAGTTACTTTGTCCTCGAATATTTGTAGTCTTGGGAAAAAAGTGGAAAGACAAATTTTTATGACAACAAATACATAAATCATAAATTTAAGCAAAATAAATTCTAGAGTTTTTTCTGTACCTTGTGCATCTCTCTCATTCATTGAATTTAGTTGTAAATGATGCTACCAAAGTAACAGTTAATTTTTTAACACTGTACAAGAATTGTACATGTTTTCTTCTACATTCCCTTATAGATGAGACATACAAAATCGTAATATCACTGGCTTAACATTGAAATCTGTAAGTAACATAAGATGGGAGAGCGGAATAAAAGCAGAATAAATATATCAAATATTTTAATGAATTTTTTTTTTAACTTTTGTCAACTACACAGAACTATCATAAAAACATACAAGTAAATTCTTATCGAATGGGTTAAGTTATAAATCTACTCATGATTCACATAATGGTGCAAGGGCAGCCAAATATCTAGCNCCCCTTAAAGATGGGATATACCAAATCGTAATATCACTGGTTTAACATTGAAATCCGTGAGTAATATAAAATCGGAGAGCGGAATAAAAATATCAAATATTTTAATGAATTTTTTAAATTCCTGTCAACTACATATACAGAACTATTATAAAAACATACCAGTAAATTCTTATCCGTTGGGTTAAGTTATAAATCTACTCGTGATTCGCGTAATCGGGCGAGGGCAGTCAAATATCTAGCGGGCGGCTAATAGCCCAGAACGGTCCCGGATGGAATTGGATGCGGTATACGTGTAGCATCCACCCAAGGTTCTAGGCTTCCACCGGCTAAACCGGGTGAGATTGGTGCTCTGTAAAGCGCGTGCGCGAATCTGGCTTTTTTTATGCTGACTATACAGCGCTTCNTTTTTTAACTTTTGTCAACTACACAGAACTATCATAAAAACATACAAGTAAATTCTTATCGAATGGGTTAAGTTATAAATCTACTCATGATTCACATAATGGTGCAAGGGCAGCCAAATATCTAGCAGGCAGGCGACTAACAGCCCAGAACCGGTCCTGGATAGAATTGGAAGCGTTATATGTGTAGCATCCAACCAAGGTCCTAGGCTTCCACCAGCTAAACTGGGTGAGGTTAGTGCTCTGTAAAGCGCATGCGTGAATTTTTTCGGATGCTGACGATACAGTGCTTCCACTCCGCCACTAATATTCGAATGTACAATAGCAATCTTATCTTTTTTTTCACGTGTAGTATAGAAATTTGTAATAAGATATAATGCGGTTATAATAAAATATTGTGCGATTATTTTCATATAATTAAAATTAATATGTATTTATTTTTTATAAAATACAAGGGAAGCGGTGTTTCCACTGCTTCCAATGACAACACGCCACTGCTGTGCAACAATCTACCCTAGCACACATTCAAATTTATTTTTTTAAAAAGATATGCCTGCCAAATTGTGCAGATTTTTAGTTTACACACCTATAGTTAATTAAAAATTTTTTATATTTATAAATTAAAAAATATACTAAATAAATTATATATGTTTAATAAAATGATTAAATCTAAATGATAAATTTGTTTTTAATTGTAAAGCTTACCAATAAAGAAAAAATATCAGATATGTAGTAATCTTTTGACTCGCATTCTATATTTTTATCTTCAGAAAGAATCGCTGAAGTGTTTGCATCCATTAACATAGTTGCATCATTGCCAGATTCTTCATTGTTTTTATCAGATTGAGTTGTTTCAACAATGATGCTTAGTTCACTCGATTCTTTAGTAAAATTCTGAGTATTGTTAGAACAGTCATCTTTCATTGATTGGTCAGAAATGTCTTCACTAGCAACAAAAGTATCTGCATTTTCAGTCTGTGAACGATCAATAGAATTAAATAAATCTTTCTTTTTTTGTAGTAAAAGTTGGATATTTTTAAACTCATTCAAATCTTGTTTGTGATCAGATTCATTACTTTCTTTCAGAAAAAGTTTTAATGAAGAATTATTATTAGTATCTTCTTCACTGTTAAGAGCTTCCCTCTTTTCATTGGCATTATCACTTTTGTTAATAATTGATGAAAAGTTTTCAATTAAAGATTCATCAAGAATTTCATTATCATCCATAATTTTTTGATATGTAAAATATTATAGCAAAGTATTTACACATTTTTAGTAAAATTACATTTTATAGTTTATTTAATATATTATGAATAANCTTTAATATTTATTTCCAAAATAAAATAAAATGTCTAATATTTTTTTTTAGATTCGACATTGCTAATAAAAAGCATCAATAATTATTAAACACTACAGGAATAATATAAAAATTAAACAGAAGAATTTAAATTTCTTTCGATGTTTATTACGTATAATAACAATTTCCTGAGTTATTTACTCTAAATTTCTAATATGAAACTATAAAGAAATTCTTATGTTTGATATTGTCTCTGGAAACATTCTTAAGTTAATTATTCACAATTGTTACTTATTAGTTTGCCTCCATTTGGCAGTTTCACACTTTTGAAATATGGATTACACGAAATTGTTATTTTTTTCTGACATTACAGCTTAAGAATGACAATGATAAATACAGTATATAAATTACATAATGGTGTGAAGTGACATTGACAACTAATGATAAAGAATTTTCGGATTTCAGAGTTTCGCGATTTTCACAAAATGATATTGAAATAACAGTAATCAAATACCTTACTGTAATTATTCATCGGAAAGCTAGATTCCTGTTAATATTTCTAGAGGAATCAATTCTGTCGTTCTACCAAAGTGCAGAATAAAAACTTTTTCAGCAGATTAAAATGTGTGTATTGATATGTATAATAAATTTCTAGTTTTTATATAAGCAGATATAATCTTTAATTACAAATGAAATAAATATATTAAATTATAAGTTTCCTCTAGATTGGAATTTTTCCTGGAAGAAATGCTCTTTAAATCAAATACAAAGAACCTAGCCTACTTCACGTAATACTACGTGATGGAAAAATACCCTTGTAAATATAATTTCGAGTTAAAAGTACCGACAATTTCGTTTTAACGAAACAGTATTGTATGGAAAAATTCTATACAGGTCCGAGTTACTGTACTCGGAACCTGTAGATAGCTTCGAGTTAACGTAGTTCGACTTACCGAGGTTTTACTGTAGAAAGGAAAATAACATTGAGTCATTGTAATAAATTTCCTTGTTATAGTTATCGAATATTTCCTGATACAAAACAAAATATATTAAAAAAATTAAGATAAATATTGATATAATATTTTAATGCAGTCCAATGATTTTGATGTAAAAAACTCAATTTATAAATTTTTATGGTACTTTATTTCACATGAGAAATTTCTTTTCTTTTCACTCTTCAAGTCTGCCGAAATAATTATTTAGGATTTTCATAACGAAACTTACCATTTTTGAGCTTTGTGATGTATGTGATTACTTTTATCTAATAGTCTTGTTCTATCGTAAATCAAACAAGCATTCACTTTTAGATAATAATGGATTTTATATAAAAAAAAATAAAATAAGCTGAACTGTGGGATATACTGTATATATATTAGGCTAATATCGAATATATATTGAAGTTTATGTATTTAAAAAATGTAATTTTCTAACAAAAAGAGCAGAAGTATAAAATGCAGGGCATAAACCCTATAAAATGCAGAAAGTGAATGAGATTTCATTCATTTTCTGCGTTTTCTTTGCTTATCTTTGATGTCGATTCAGCAGAAATCCAGGGAGCGATTATGTCGGTATCGTTATTTATTTATATTTTTTTATTTTATTCGACAAAAGACAAATATTTCATTGTAATTCCAACGGCGAATATAGATGTTGGGTTATTATACATCGAAAAAATTGTAGAATTTTTTATAATTTTAACTAATATATAAAAAAACTTTATGGACCTTACAAATTTTTATGCGCGGTAGATTAACCTGAGAGATACTTAAAAGAATTTAAAGAAAAATCTGAAACTTCTTCGAAAAAACAAATTTCTCATACTACACTTTCGATATTTAAAAATAAATAAAGCGTTTTTAAATAATTAAACAAGTTTTCTTCATTAGCAACTATTCTAAATTTTTTGTTGGTAAAAATATTACAGCATATGCACAATTTTTTTTTCTTTTTTTTAATATTTGATCAATTGAATTCCGTGAATGAAAAAGTTTCAAGAAAGATATATTCAAGCAAATAAAATTTAGAAAAATCAAAATATGGTAATACTAGTCTTAATTTAGAAGAGTTATATAGCAAGATTAGTCATATTCATACAGCTTATTCAGAATGATATACCATTGAATGTGTATCATATACATACTGTACAGTACATCTACATACATTAAAATGCTCATCTAACTCCAGATCCAATCCTGGTTTTGATTCTCAGAGCGATCTGAACTGAAATCCAATGATATATTTAAAAAAAATATACTGATATGTAGTAGATTATATATATATAATCTACTACGGAATGTTATTTACGATTGACTATGCAAAATAAAGTTGATACTAAATAGAGAATACGTATCTTAATTTTTATAGAGAGCACTGACCCTCTTATCACTTTGCAAAGTCATATCATTCTTCTCCGTCTCGCCTGTGACTGTTAAGTCATTCAGGCAAATTTATATCTTACATAGACTTCAATAATCCATTCATAAAATTGAAGTAAATAATATTTCTCGTAGTGTAATGCAAATATTAGCACAGTTGTTACATTTGTTTAAATCTATATTCGCTTTACAGTTATGGAATTGATACAAAATACTTTTAATTCTAAAGTTAGATAATAAGAAAACATTACAATCAAATTCTTAATGACGTTTCAAATTCATTATGTTAAAAGATATTTCATAGTAAAGAATTTACGGCATCACTTGTAAGATTCATTTAATAATTGGAAATAAGTTGTTCAAATCTCTATTTATCACAATGCCTTAATTAAGTTGAAAGATATCTCATTACATCTTTCTACAGTCATTAAAAATTCAAGTTTTAGTTTATTTAATGCCATTTTACAGACTATCTGAAAAAAAATAAAAACTTAAATAAAATATTTATTATTTAACTCTAAGAAAGTAATGAGTGAGTGAACACGTTTCGATTCGATACCAATTATCTAAAAATAAATTCGAAATTTTGGATTCAAAAGTTTGATTTTTGCCACAAAAATATATACGGTAATTTAAATGAATTTACTGTATTTTAACATTTGTTTAAATTATTATTGTGATTTTAGATTATGTATAATTATATTAATCTTGTTTATAACGTAAATTATTCAAATTCAAAAGTAGTAAACTGATGACAATTCTCATTTAAGTAACTTTCAGTTCCATAATTTACGAACGAAAATCTTCTACATGCTGATGATAAATTATTATATTTAGTATTTGAAAGTTTAATATAAAATATTAAAAATTATAAAAACTATTTAATAATTTAATGTTAACAAAATAAAGTTTCTGAAATTCATTTCAAAGTCTAGAAATTTGGCAAGTCTAAAGTGTTTCTCAATAACAATTATTCTCACTGTATCAACTAGAACATCTGTTCTGATATCCTAGACTTTATTATAAAAAAAAAAAAATTACAACTAGCATATGTAACAATTCATAGCATTACCTTGACATTTCTTGACCTAAAAATGTGACCCAAAATCAAAGCTTATCATAATTTAAATATAGATTTTGCAATATTTTGTTTTCTTGTTGTTTTATTAACACAAAATTTAGTTATTAGATAAAAAATAAATTTTATTTCTGTGTTGAATTTGGTACTTTAAATAACTAATACAACAAATTATATTAAGCTTAAACTTTTTTTGTTTACAAATAAACCATAATTTAATCTAGATAAAGTTGGACAAATAGGATATGAAAGAACTTAAGTTTAACTCTGAAATATCTAATTATTTCATTATTATTTTGATTTCTATTTAAAATTCCAAATACCATAGCTGTATTTAACATTGAACTTCTTACGTGTAAATAAACGAATTATCTGTCTTAATAACGAAGTAAATTATTTACTTAATAACCGAACAATACAAAATTAATTTAAAGGATTTTTAAATCTTTTAAAAACAATATTTTCTATTCAACTTCACTTATTAAATAAATTTATATACAAGTATATTATGTAATAAAGTGTCCTATATTTCTGGATTTAAAAATAGATCAACAATTTGTTTTTAAAATTTAATAATTTTGTAATTTTAATTAGTGATTTTTCAATCACTAATTAAAATTAAACTAAATTGAAGGAGTGGCTAAGAAAGTAGAAGTTCAAAGTAATCAATTTAATTAAAACAAGTTAAAATTGAATTTTTAAAATCAATTTTAAATTAAATACAATAACGTGTATGACCCATTGTAATTTAAATTTATTTGTTAGCCGTATTACGTTTAATTCCTTGCTCTGCCGCTGTAGAAAACAAGTTACATCTGATATTTATTTATTATTGTATTGTGTAATATTTTAAATCAATGTCAATTATTAATAAGTTTTTTCCCCCCACGTTTTTTTAATATAAAAATTAAGATAACTATTTTAAAAAGAATTAATTTAAATACCTCAATTTGGCTTGTAATACGAAGCTTTACTTATAATTAATTGGGTTCCAATAAATTTGTATTTATCCAAAAATATTAATATCCATCTTTAAGTAAAAACCTTCTCCACAAATTCTAGGATGCTGAACCCAAACGGCAATGTTTGTATTTGACGTCACGTGTACTTATTCCAATGAGAAACGTCATATCACGATCCTGAACTCCGTCGGATGATGACAATTAGCCAATCAGATCGGATTTCTTATCTTATGAAAAAGTTAATAACTAATCTCTTAAAAAATATAGGTAACTTATTATTACTATAAATAAAATTCGAATGTCTATTTTTAGTATTTAGCATTAAATATTTTACATAAATAATTTTAAAAAAAATGTATATTTTTAATTCGCTTAGATAAATGCTTCTACTTTTTAAATTAACTATTCTGTTAGCTGTTTAAAAAGAATTAAAATTATGAGCCACAAGCACATTATTTTTATTAATATTTAACACATGATTATTAATATTTGCGTAGTAATTACAATTAACCTTAAAAAAATCAAAACACGTCATAAATTTACGAGATTTTAATTCGATAAATATTAGTGACGTATGTATGGTGTTACCATATTAACGAAAAAAATCACAAAGAACTCCTAATGTAAATATATTTTCACTTTCAAATATTTAAACAAAATTAACCTTTTAACCGAATATTTAAACAAAATCAACCCTCATTAATTTTAAGAATAATACTTTATTTATATAGATACGATAAAAGGCCATAGCAACATCAGATAATGTATCTATAAACGTTAACGTTTAAGCAAAGTTTTAAATATTAAGATAAGTTTATAGTAGTGTGTACATAATATCATTTTACGATCATTCAACTAGTTGTAAGAAACTTTCATATATATAAATCATGTAGTTTTTCTTTAAAATACAGCAATATAAGATTACCAAAACTTCCATTCTCATAACTATTTTTATGCCTTCAGAATTTTCTTTCTTCTCTATATAAAAGTTTTTTTTTTCTTTTTTCATTCCTTGAAGACTTACAAACTTATATTACATTTAGAATGTCTGCTGGAGTTTGCCCTAAACATCCAAATAAAGAAAATTCATTCTTATCTACTTCCAGCTTTTTTCTTAATACAGCTTTTGAGTAAAGCAGATTTTCTTCTATTAAATAAAATAGAAAAGGATTTCAAATAATCCTTGTTTATCCTCAATTATTTTTCAATTGGAATTTACTTAATACAAAATATACAATGTCTAATGATAATATTTTGCTATTACTATCAGTACTTATACTGTGTTAAATTAAATATAGTAATTAATATAAATTAAAAAGAAATTAACTGATAATGAGACATCCTGTTACTAAGATTTCTCTGTAATAATATCATAATAACAATTATTCTCACTGTATCAACTAGAACATCTGTTCTGATATCCTAGACTTTATTATAAAAAAAAAAAAATTACAACTAGCATATGTAACAATTCATAGCATTACCTTGACATTTCTTGACCTAAAAATGTGACCCAAAATCAAAGCTTATCATAATTTAAATATAAAGTTTGCAATATTTTGTTTTCTTGTTGTTTTATTAACACAAAATTTAGTTATTAGATAAAAAATAAATTTTATTTCTGTGTTGAATTTGGTACTTTAAATAACTAATACAACAAATTATATTAAGCTTAAACTTTTTTGTTTACAAATAAACCATAATTTAATCTAGATAAAGTTGGACAAATAGGATATGAAAGAACTTAAGTTTAACTCTGAAATATCTAATTATTTCATTGTTATTTTGATTTCTATTTAAAATTCCAAATACCATAGCTGTATTTAACATTGAACTTCTTACGTGTAAATAAACGAATTATCTGTCTTAATAACGAAGTAAATTATTTACTTAATAACCGAACAATACAAAATTAATTTAAAGGATTTTTAAATCTTTTAAAAACAATATTTTCTATTCAACTTCACTTATCTGTCTTAATAACGAAGTAAATTATTTACTTAATAACCGAACAATACAAAATTAATTTAAAGGATTTTTAAATTTTTTAAAAACAATATTTTCTTTATGTTTTAATGTTTTTCATAGTTTTTAATTAAATTCTTTGTCTTAAATCTTATTCATCTATTTACATAATAGAAGTAATGCCCTAAAGAAAGGAAAACTTCCCTTATTTATAACAAAAATAATAAATCAAAATTGATGAGTATTATACGACAATGATATAATTATTTGTTTATATAAATTATATATTATACAAATTTTATTTATTTATTTTAAAATATTCGAATATTGTGTTTACTTAAAAATATTTCCGGATTTCTATTGTACGAAGTAAATATAACAGAACATTCCAGAGTAGGTTGAAAAGATAAAATTGGATCAATAATTTATATAATCTTCAAAATTTTATATTATTGTAATATAATTTATAAAAGAATTTAAATTTTTATGTAATGAAAATAAAAATTTTTATATAAATATTTTTTTTTGTAGTTTTTNTTTGAAAATTATTACTTAATAAACTTCTTAGTAAAAACACTTAAATATTTATACTTAAACTGATATTTAAGTATAAATAAGTATAAGTATTAATATCCGTTTAAGATATTTAATTGATGAATAATTTTTAAGATGATAGATTTAGAAAAATTTTCCAAGAATTGTTTTTATGTTTTATGATACACATATCTCTATCTGTATAAATCAAACACTGTTAATTTATTTTGGAAAGTAAATTCTAATTGAAAATTTTAACTGAAAGATTGATCTTCAAGTTAAAAAGCAACACAATTTAATTAGAAAAACAGAAATTATATTAAAATTTGATGAATTGAAGAACATTAAATTGTATTTAATATAATTTATTCTTATTAATAGTCAGGGGAATATCTGAATACTTAGAAAAAAATCTCCTCATTTGTTCTAATTTGAATCACAAACGATCTATAAATTAAGAAAGGCCCGAACATTCCGTATCTAAATTGATAAAGAATAATTTAGTACATCTTTCCATTAAAAAAAAAAAAATGTACAGAAATTTTAATATAAATATCTTAAGTGGTTAAAAGTAGAACAAAGATAAAAATATAATAATGCAATAATATTTTTGATTTAAACAGATCATATTTTAGATTTACGAAATTTTATGTTTAACGTGTCTACGGACTCTTCCTATAGATGAATTATGATAAAAGAAAATGTATAAGTCAAAATGATTTCAATATTGGATTAGATAATAATACATTGCATAATTATCTGAACTTGGGCATATACTCACCTCTCATATAATATACCTGTAATTGATTTGATCTCATAAAAGTCGTAAAATGTTTTAAGTTACATTTATGTGAATTTTTAGTATTCGATAGTTTTCAAAAATCATTATTTTAGAATGAAATTTATCGTTTATCAGTATTTTGATATCAAATTCTAGTTTGTACATCTCTATACAATAAAAGAGGACAAAGTCTCTTTCTGATGAAACATCTCTCCTCTGAGAAATAGGATGGGGCCTTGACGATCACACTGATTACGCACTGATTATGAAGTTTATTGCGCAGTTACCTGAACTGTGATTGATTTTTTAATATATTAGAGTTTATTAATAGTTTATAATGGGTACAAATTAAAGAATTAGATACATTAAAAACCCTATTTTACAAATAAAAAAACTCTTTAAAAAGTAATGTTTCGTGCAAGATGAAATGAATCGTTACATCAAATTAATTTTTAACATAATTTATACTTCGTTTTTATTCTTTTTTATTATTAAAATTTGAAAAAAAATATTACATTTTCTAATGATATTGCATGTAAAAAATACGAAAATGATTTATATTTTTTCAATAAACCGAGTTTATATAATATAAATTCGCTTTTCACTATTTTAACTTCTTGTACTTACTTGCCCATGATAATTTTAAAATATCTACAAATATTCTAATCAAAGTTTTATTAATTTCCTGTAGATTAGTTATCATATTTATAAAATTCTTTAACGATAATTGTAAATTAACAATTTAAATTTATGTTTGTAATGAAAGTTATGTTTTCATTTCAAATAATAATTTTTGATTATTATTTGAAAAATGGATTACGCAAATTGTTTTGTAATATTTTAAAATTATAATTCAGTATTAACTTTTCGTAAAATCAAAGTTATAAATTCCAGAAGAAATTAAACTTCACGCATTGTTAAGTTCACTCTTAAAAGGATCAATAATTCAAGTAATAATAAACACACACACACACATATATAAATATATAAATATATCCTTTCATTTTTTACGTAGATATTTAGATTTATAAAAACAATAAATACTGTTTAGAATCCCACAGATTTAAGAACGTATTATCAGTTTAATATCTNCTTAGTTGAACTTTGCCCAACTGGTTAGTGGTTCTAGAACCACTTACCATTTGTTAAATCACTAAATGTTAAAAGTTTAACATTTAAAAAGAAATGTTGAAATTTACTTTTATTTATTAAAATTTGTTAAAAAATAAAAATCTTATTAGCTAATAAGAAATTAGAATCTTATTTTTGGCTTAAATAATTTAATTGGGCTGCAATTTTAGTAATTTATTTGAAATAATGCACTGAATATCTGAGAACTAATTTATGTAATTAATCTTGAACAAATTATATGTATGTATGCATGCATGAACAAGAATGGAATCTGAAATATGATTAAATTATTGCAAGATATGTTATAAAGTTATAGCTTTAAAAATGTGTTACTGTTATTTGTACAAGTATTAGCAATAAAACTGATCTGAATTCATATGTTTTTCATACTATGTCATTAAGGTTATTGCAACCATACTTAATATTATTGTAGCAGCCCATTATCATCTCTAATACTATACCTTGTTTGATATTTTTTATTACATATTTCATACTTTTAATGTATAGTATTTTAACTACTAATTTTATTTTTTCCTGCTAAAATGTTAAGAAATAAAACTTATTTATTATTACTTTTTATAAAACGATGAAGAAATGATGTTTGAATAATTGGATTTTGAAACTTTTGTACCGTGCCGCCATTTTGTCATAAGATTTTGAAATTCAAATAAATAGTTAGTTACTAGATTCTTCTGCCGACTTTTTTTTTAAATGTAATTTACTACAAATACTCGATTATTTTTGAAAACAACTAAAAATAAGGTGATGTCGCTTCGAAACAGTTCGATCAATCTGTGGCTTTTGAACCTGATTGGAGGCCCATTGAAGCAATCTTATCTTATCGTAGGTCACTTATACCGTGCGCGTCACCGGACTCTGTAACCCTGAACTAATACTAAAAGGCTATATAAGGATGTTACATTTGTCAATTAACTATTCCCGTTGTAGTTTTGGTGGCAGATGCCACTTGTGTATTATTTTGAACTCTATTAACGACATCGGCAATGGGCTACGGATCAGTCCTTTTGCTTTCGGTCTTCGTGGCAAATGCAGTTGCAGGTAAGATCATTCAAAGTTTTAACCCGGGAAATTCATCGAATGGAATGATTCATCTATGCATAATTTAATTCGAATTCATTTTGAATTCTCATTTATTCATTTATCGGAAATTTAGGAATCATTCAAAATTTCGAGTTTTTCCCTCTAATTTCTTTAGAAATATAATAAAATATCTTTAATTTATTTATTACTTTTAGAAAATTTTGTAAATTGAGTTATTTTTACAAACAATACACTGGTTTTGTTACAAATATTTCAAACGATTTCGGGCAATATTAAACTTAATATTAGAATAAGAATATGTAATTATTCTGGTTTGGAAATTATTTATTTGTTTGGCATTGTTCTCTTTAATATTTAAGCTTGAAAAACTTAATATTAGTGAAAATACTTAGATTTAGTATATGTCTCTTCAATCCGAATGATTAAAAAACGGTAGACTTTCTTTCAGCTTTGAGGTTAAGTATTCCTTTATTGTAAATTACATATGCATTTCAGACTTGTATGAGCCCCTCTTCAGTGTAAATTCTCAGATGGTTGAGCAACACTTTACACTGAAGGGGGGCTCATACAAGCCTGAAATGCATATGTAATTTACAATAAAGGAATACTTAACCTCAAAGCTGAAAGAAAGTCTACCGTTTTTTAATCATTCGGATTGAAGAGACATATACTAAATCTAAGTATTTATCAGCTATTATACCAGATTTTGTGAAGAAAATACTTAATTGTATTATGCTTAGTATAAAGCAAAATTTTTATATTAAATTTCTAATAAATTTGAATTTAATTTAGAATTACAATACACTATATACATATATGTATGAAAAAATATAAAATTATTTAATATGGCTCTTTATATTAAATATACAATAGCAGATAATGATTAATTAATAATATTTTATTATGAATTAATTATTTTAATAGAAAAATTGAGAGTGCATTGCAAGATATTTAAAAAGTTTAATTTTATACTCACATCAGATTTAAAGTAACAGATAAATTTTATGAAATAGTTTATTTCTTATGTAAGAATTTTGTAATTGCTGTTGCTTTGAAGATTTATTCAATCGAAATTGTAACGTAACAATTGCATTATTCAATTCACACTATTGCATTCATGATTTTATTACTGTTTAGTTTTTGTAATGAACTAAATTACATTCAATAGTTAGTTTATAAAATCTTTAAAATATATCTAAATTAGAGTTAAAAAAACATTGATATAATATTTATAGCTACGAGGAAATTTTACTTTAATATAATTTAATTAGAAATTTGTTAAATTTTAAAACTCAAATTTGAAGATCTTTCTTACTTCATATTTTAGTTGGAAATATTTTTTCGTACTGTTTAGATTATCTGGAAGTCATAGTTAAGATGTTATTTAAATTTATATGTCTATATTCTGTTTGAAAATATATTCAATAGTCTAAATATTATTAAATGTATTTTAAAAGCCTATTGCTTCTAGATTACTATATATAGATTACCTATTTAATTTTCTAATTAAATCAAAAGATGTTGTACGATGGAACCAATAATGCATTATCTTTTGGCAATGTACGTAATTAAAATATATTATATAAAAATTGCCTTCAATTAAAGAAAATGTTAATTGTATTTAATGCAGACTTTAAATAACTTATAAGTTAATTTTGAAAATAAATAGTGAAATTCGTGCAAATTATTTACAATAAATCTTATTAATGTTCTGCAAAGGAACTAATCAGGAAGGCCGAAAACACTTCAACTATGAACTTTACAAGAGCCCCAGCAACAGATAAACATGATAATCAGTATTTATTATTCGTTGTTGTGATCTTTTTTCGGCATTATCTAGCCTACTTTCAACTTTAAAATCAATTCATGCTGTCAATCCATCGAGATAAGAGACAATGTGTCTGGACTATAATCGACTATTGATCAATCACAAGAATTTTGAACCTTCTTTGACGTCATTTCACGTGATAGTATTCACTAGCCAGTAGACTTTTTAACATGTGATTATCACACGCACTTCCAAGGTTGATTATAACGTATTATAATAATAATTATTTGATGTTTTCCTAGATAAAAAAATTTATAGAAATCGTAAATATAATAAAATAAAATAAACAATTCTATCAAAGTTTTATTTATAAAGTCTGAAGTTTAATATATTTTTAATGCAGTGTTTATTTAATTTTAGGTCCATTGAAATACTCAGATGGCCAATGCGCAAGGCATTGTACGGGTAAGAATTTTTTCATTGGAATTTTAATACTTTTACAAACCATTACATTATTAATTTTATTAACATTCGATATATTTTAATTAAAAGAATTAATATTGATTTCTTGTATAATAAACACCATACCTAATTAATACGGTTATCCATTTGTACTGCATTAATTATTATCGCTGCCTTTGTCCGTCAGTAATTGTGACATCGACGGAAGATTTATCTTATCAATTATTATTGTTTGTTTAGTAAAATCTCAACGATAGATTCACTTAATATCAATTTATTTTGTATCAGAGAACAACAAATTACGTTATGAACCAAGTGTTTACACGTATGATTATGAATCCGATACTATCACCACAATACAAGGAACGACGCATGAAGAGTCTCGAATGCACATGAAAACGAAAGTTATGATTGAAGTAGTTTCAAAATGCGAACTAGTAATGAGGGTAAGACATAATTTTTATCTTATTTTAAGCTAAAAAAAATTAAAATATTTATTCACAATCAAAATTTAATTAACTATAGTTACGAGAAACGAGTCTCGAAAATTCGGATCCCAGAAATCCGAATGACAGAAGACCGACTCAAAACAACAGAGAGTTTGCAGATAAACTACAAAGATATGATCTGAGATTTTCTTTCCAAGATGGTATAATTGAAAATATCTGTGCTACAGAAGACGAAGAACCATGGGTGCTTAATATCAAAAAGGGTATCTTATCTACTCTTCAAAATTCCATGGATAATTTGGAAATTACTCAGACAGTAACCGAGGTATTTAACTCTTCATAATTCTTATATTTTTCATCGACTTTAAACTATTCTGCATTTTGATAAATATAAACATTTTTAATATCCCTATTTAGACAGACGTGGCAGGAAAATGCACTTCAGAATATACCAGTTTGGGAAGAAATTGGAGGAACGTGTACACAGTAAGAAAGACTAAGGATTTATTATCGTGTACTGAACGATCGAACGTACAGACTGCTTTACAAGGATCTTCATATACTGAACAAGTATGCAACAAATACAAACATTTACCTTTTAATTAATTTACTTATCTTTATGTTTTAATTAACATTTGAACAATTTAAATTACTATAAAAACAATATGATATATTTAAAATTATTTCTAGCAATCAAAATCTTTACCTCTGCTAAAAGGTGTCCAGGTTTGCGAACAGAAATTCAGTTCGGGCATTCTTGAATCAGCAACTTGTATAGAGTCTCACACTTTTAGGCCATTTTCTAAACAATCTAACGGTGCCGTTACTCGAACAATACAGAAATTAACATTCAGTCAAAAACATAATGGCAGATTTGCAGGAAATGGTAATTATTGCTTCGTATTCATTTTTATCGTATTCTGAAAAGAAACTAATCTTTCTGCTTATAAACAGATTACAGGATGATTAGCGAGAATTTATTGTTCAATCATAATTATGAAAAGATGGAAGAAGGAGCTAGGCAACAAGAAGCCGAACAACTTCTTGCTACATTATGTAGTGCAAGTAAAGAAGAAATACGAAATGACGTTCCTAGATTATTCTCTCAATTTATTTATGTATTGAAAACTCTTCAGCATCCCGAATTAATGGCTGTAAACAGAAGAGTAGAAAGAATCTGCGCCGGAAACAGTAAAGGAAGGTAAACATAAACATATATAAATATACTGTATATATATATGTTCTTTAGAATATAGATATATATATATATTCTATAATATATAGATACTAGTATCTATATATTATAGATACTATATATTCTATAATATATAGATACTAGTATCTATATATTATAGATACTATATATTCTATAATATATATATTATATTCCTAAAAAGAATATATATATATTCTTTTAGGGCTATTTAATTACTTCACTGTATTATTTATTAATATTCTGAATTTTGTAGGAAATTTTTCACGGATGCAGTAGCAACGATTGGAACTACAGCATCTGTAAAATTGATGAAAGAAATGATCGAAAGAAATGAAGTAGCAAGTTCCGAAGCAGAATTCTGGATGACCAGCTTAGCCTTTATAACTAATCCGACAAGTGATATGATCAATACTTTAACTGTAATTATCCTATATATTTACTTGATGTAACTAATTAATATTTGTAAATTGTTTGTAAACGTTCACTTCGTTCTACAGCCACTTCTAGATGGAAGATACGAACAAGCACTTTTAGGAGTTTCGGGATTAATTCATACTTTCTGTCAATCCAACCCAGATTGCGGAATTTTACCTGAAGTCAGGCGAGCCGTTCGAATGTTAGTTAATAACTTAGGAGAAAATTGCTATTCATCTGAAACGAGAAAGGTAAAATTATATCATATTAAAATATTCTTCTTATTAAATTATTTTTACGAAAAATTAACTAAATTTATATTAAATATCTACGTAACTTTAGGTATTGTTATCATTGAAAGCTATTGGTAATATTGGAGAAGGTGAAGAAGCTCAAAGAATTTTGCAACAATGTTACCATAATCCTCAACTAACCACAGAAACAAGATTAGCAGCTATTCAGGCATACCGAAGATTTTCTTGTTACATACCTGTAAGCATTATTTTTAAATAAATGGAAATTACGAAACTATGCCGCAGTTTTAAATACAATTTATTTTTATTTTTAGAGAGATGATTTATTAAAATTATATACTAATTATGAAGAAGATTCCGAACTTAGAATTGCATCTTATTTGGCTGTTATGAGATGTGCAAATCATTATACAATGAATATAATTAAGAATACTCTTGAAAATGAAGTCATAAATCAAGGTAAGTCAGCATTAATATATATATAAAATTGATAATATAAGATGAAATTTACATATGACTCTGTGAAATAAATTTTATATTATTTTTAACAGTTGGTTCTTTTGTCTGGACTCATCTTGTAAATACAAAAGAGAGTGAAAATCCTGTCAAAAAAGACATAAAAGAAATTGTATCTAATTTATATCTCATGAATAAATATAATACCGACGCAAGGAAATTTTCAAGAGCAATGGAATATTCTATGTTTTTTGATAGCTTAAATGTAGGAACTCACGCCGAAAGTAATATAATTTACAGCCCTCAATCTTATATACCTCGTTCTGCAATGTTCAATTTGACTGTAGATGTGTTAGGTTCAACTGTTAATCTTTTTGAGGTAAATTACTTTATATAAATTGTTATCAATGAAAGAATTTATTTCGACATGTTTTAACCATTTTATTAATAAATTGGCATAATTTTTTTTTCTAAATCTAGATTGGAGGAAGATTGGAGCACGTCGAGAAAATTGTAGAAAGATTATTTGGTCCTAAAGGTTACTTTTCTCAGAGCTCTATGAGTAAGATTGTCAAGAATTGGAGACAGAAAAGAGCGGTCTCAGATAACAAAATTGGAGAATTGACTGATCAGGTAAGATATATTTTATATTTTTCTAAAAATATATTTTAAATTATTTTTTCTGAACACTCTTCGATATTTTTAGTTTGATGCTAAAACACGTTTCAATGAGGATCCATATGCATCTATGTATCTGAAGATATTTGGAAATGAGATGTGGTATTCTAATTTAGATTATCTCAGATCTCAAAGAGAAACTTTCGATCTAAACAATTTTCTCAGAGAACTTGCAAGAGAACAAGATGTAGAATTTTCTAAATCATTTATGTTTTTGGATGCTACTTACACAATTCCTACTGGAAATGGTTTTCCTCTTCGTTTGGCAATCAACGGAACAGCAACTGTGGGTTTGAAAGTCGGAGGAAAGTTTGATGTTAGATCTCTAAAACAAGTTGACATTCGTGGAAGATTCCAACCAAGGTGAATAAATACAAGAAATCAGATATCATTACTAAATTAGAGAACAGTTTTTGAAATTATTATCATTATTATTATTATTTTAGTGGTGCAGTTGAGATTTCAAGTTTAATGACAGTAGATGCAGGAACAGCTCGTAGTGGATTGAAAATGGTTGCCACTTTGCATTCATCAACTTGGATGGATGGTTTAGTAGAGATGAGAGATGGTCAAATAATGAAAGTTCAATTAAATGTTCCTAAAGAAAAAATGGAAATTATTGATGTTCAGTAAGTTTTGCATAGATAAATTAATAATAATCCAGAAATTAAATAAAATAATTTTTAAATTTTACAATTTTTCTTATTATTTTTTTAGGAGTAGGATATTTTTATTGAATGAGGAAAAAGAAAGAGAACAGACAGGTCCACGAGAAAGATCGAAAATAGTTTCCTCCTGTACAGGACGTTATACTAATAAAATTTTGGGAATGGAACTATGCAGTCAATTACAAGTGCCAGAATCTGTCGACAGAAACTTACCTTTGTTTCCAATGAGTGGAGCAGCTGTAGCTAGAGTTTTTATTAGAAAGACTGATCGTACTCTCACAAGTTTTAACTTCGAAGCTAAATGGAATAAAGAAATAGTAATTATTTTTATTTAAAACGTAACACATTATCTATTGTCGAGAAAAAGAAATGTATTTAAAAAAAACTATAAAATTACAGGATAAAAAAGGAAGATCAATTAGGAGTGCTTTTGTGACTTTGAACACACCTGGATCCTCCGTTGATCGTGAACTGACTTTAGATTTTCAGTTGAATGAACCCGAGAAATCTGTATCTCTCAAACTTAAAACACCTATTAAAAAATTAGGAGTATCAGGTAATTATTATCAATTATTTATGAAAGAAATGCTTAATAAATTTTCCAATTTAATGCATTTATCTTAACTTTATTTAATTTATAGCAAGATATACAAACGAAGACATTGAAAAACGTTTCGATATCCGCTTTACTATAGACGATTTGGAAAAGTTTGTTATTCAATCATCACTTAGATCAGATACTAATTCAGCAGGTGGCTTATATTCTCCAGCTCTTGAAGTAATAGGACCTAATGGACGTTTGATAGCAATTACAGGATCCGCTCATATTCGTCACGGTGAGAGATATAATGGACAATTAACAATTGAAGATGCTACCAGAAAACCAATAAGTTTAAATGGTAAGTACAGAAAACATTTTACATCGTAACGATTTTGATAAATTCTTATGTTCTACTTTTAATTATAGCCAATCTGGATATTAAAGAAAGAGAAAGATACGAAATCCAATTTGGTATAAGTTCATCCTACATAGAATCAAATCTTCAAGGTTTCGCTCAGCTAGCAGACAGTATTTCTTCTAAATTAACTTTGGACTATCAAATCGAAAAACAAAGACGTGAAACTATAGATATTATTGCAAAATTCCGCGATCTCTCAGCCAGCAGTTTAACGAAGTATGCAGGAACATTCTCTTTACTCAGTACAGCTAAACCACAATATACAACAGCTGCAACATGGGAAATGCAACGTACTACAGGGCATATGGAAAATACTCTCCAGATTAATTTGGGAGATGGAAGAAGAAGCAGAATGCATAAAATTACTCTACAGGAAATCGTTCGTTATCAGGGTACTCTATCCAACAATAAAGCAGCACTCACATTAAAAATGATTTATCCTGAAAGGAATATCGATTTTTCGTTCGATATGAAACACGAGAATACAGAAAAACAACTTTTTAATAAACTGAATGTACAATATGCACCCAACAGAGTAGCGAATGTAGAGACAGAAATAGATATAGAACCTAATCAATTTAAAGGAGGTATGAAAGTAAGTTATCCAGGACGGGACGCCAGATTGGCAGTTAATGCGATTCGCAATACAAATGAATATAGAGCAGGAGTGATTGCTCAATGGCAACGTGGTCGACAGCTAGCAGCACAAGCAAATTTTAGAAATATCAGAGAAGGACAAAAAGTTAGATACGAGAGTGATGCAGAAATTTCATACGCACGTAAAAAACCTATCAGTATCTCAGCTGCGCTCGGAATTCATGGCTCTGATTACACTTTTTCGGGTAATGTTGATGTAGGAAAAGAGAAATATTCCGCCAATGGTAACTGGGTAAATACTGGAACTTTCAATAAAAGATTAGAGGCATTTGTTAATTTTCCTGGCTTAATATATTCTGCTGAGTTGAATTTGCAAGGCGATAGGAATAGCATCAATGGAAACGCAGACTTTAAGACAAATTCAAGACATATAGTAGGAAAATTGAGAACTACAAATACAAAGAACGCAAAATCTGGTTCTTTAGAGATACAAATGGATGCAGAAAGAGATCCTAGAAATACCTACGTTATTGAAGGCCAAATGAATACTGGTAATAAATATCAAGGATCATTCAATTACCGTTCTCCAAGCTACAATGTTCAAGGAAGAATTACTAGCAGTCATCAAGGTAATATTTTGGATGGAGTATTCAAAACCAACCATCATGTAGAACTTGAATGGAATCCTAGACGCAAAGTGATCACAGATTTGAATATTGATGCTAATTTGAGTAATGGACGAAGGCAACTGGTTGGTAGTTTTTCGGCCTATACTCCATTTGTTAATTATGAAGATTATGCTTTAAGTATTAACCATAATGATAACGGCCAAGATTGGAGAACAGAAGCAAATGTAAAATTGCCAAGAGGAAAGACATTGACAGGTTTTACCGAAGGTAGGATCTACACCGATCGTTACTCAAAATCTCTTAATGCTAAACTAAGAATAAATACTCCATATTCAGACTTTGAGAGGATTAATGCAGATGTAAACTATAACTCATCTCCCAACGAATTAAACATGTTGGCTAAATCAGAATGGAGTATTGAAAAGAATGTTGGATTTGGCATAGCTACTCGTCACGTACCTAATTCCGATTATCGTGTCGCCTTCAATTTTACTTCCCATTATGAACTTGCAAAAATACTGTCAGCTAACGTAATATTAAGCAAATCCAAAGAAGGATATAGAGTTCAAAGTGATGCTCAATGGGATATCGATCAAAAAGTTAGTATCTTGATGGATGGTAAACAAACTTTTGATGGATACAACAGAATTTGTGAGGTGGTAATGCAAGGCAGCACTCCTTTCAGAGGTTATGAAAATCTGTACTCTAAAATAACATACAAAAATGATAAACGCACAGCAAGTGTAGATGGAGAAGCTACCTGGGGTTATCGTAAAATAAGTGGAGGAATTTCAGGAGCTATAAAAAGCAACTCTAATAATAGAAACTTAGAAGGAAAGCTTTATATAACTACACCATTCCAGAATTTCGAAAACTTTCAAGTAACCGCTACGCACTTGGATGAAAAACAGAGGTTTAAGAGTTTAATTGAGGTGGTACTTCCAAGAAATTCAAGAACAATAACTTTAAAAGGTCAAGGTAAACTGTCATCTATTTCTGATGCTGAGCTTAATCTTTCTCTAACTAGTCCCTTTAAGAATTTTGAACGTATTTCTACTGAAATTGTCCATAGAATAAATGGTGATAGATTGCGTACCATTGGTGAAATGCAGTACGGTACTTACAAAATAACAGGAGAACTGACAGGAACTCATTCTACTGGTAATCGAGCTTATAACACAGAACTTTATTTTCAAGCAGTCACTCCATTCAGAGGTTACGAAGACATCAAAGCAAGTGTAGTGAACAACCGAAAAGACTATAGCTTTTTAACAATTCTTCAACTCAACTTTAATCAGGATTATAGCAAATTACAGAACAAACTAAAAATGGATAATATTCTGAATTTCGAAGAAGAACTTCAAATCACATCTCCTTACATTAGAAATATACTCATTAATGTTAAACAAGAATATAGAAAAGGACACTTTAAGCATATTTTAGATGCAAAGCAAGGTAGAGAAAGAATGCGAACAGAAGCAGAATATATTAATAGTTCGCCTAATTACGGTAATAATATAGAATTAAAAATAAAAGCCACTAGTCCTTTCGAAACGTTACGTTCACTCGATATAGACGGTAGTTTTGATAGTAATGGTAGAAGTTATACTCCAAAAGTAACCATATTGTGGAATGGTTCTAACAAAATTGCAGCTGAAGCTAATCTTCTCAATAATAGATACAAAAGAATGGAAACGAGAGGCACCATTACTACTACTTTTAATGGTTACGAATTTTATTCAGCTTCAGGCAGTTATGACATCACAACACAAAAGAAAAGTATGGAATTAAATTTACAGTGGGACAGCAGAGAAAATAAACAGATCTCATCTAAAGGTTCTTTTGTGGGAGATAGAAACAGTGGCCAAGTGGAACTGAATGTAAAAACTCCTGGAGATGATTATAATCTAAATGGCGATTACGTATTAAATGAACGTGAAAAATCTTTTAATTTGGAATATCAATATGGTTGGAAGAAAATACAGATGAAAGCAAAGCGGGCTGTTACCAGTGAAGGTTCAGAAATGGAGTTTCTTTTCACAAGTCCCTATAAATCAATGGAGAAGTTTGCTTTAACAGAAGGTCATGCATTTGGAGATAATACCATCAATGGACAAACTAGTGTTCAATGGAATGAAAAGAAAATCTTTTTGGGCGCAGAATTTATCAGAGACGGTCCTCGAGGTTCTTTGAGAATCACTTTTAAAAGTCCATTTCAAGGATACGAATTAGCTTTACTAGAAGTAAAGGGAGATTTATACAGTGCACGAAAGACACTCGATAGTTTCTTTCAGTGGAATACCCAGCAAAAATATCAATTAAATGCAATTTATGAATATTTACCAACTGCACAACGCATTCTTAACATCGTTGTTCGCACTCCATTCAAAAAATATGATGAAATTTCATTTGAAGGCCGATTACAAAATAATCCCAGAGAACTCAGAGCACAGATAAACTATCAGTGTCCTCTTCATAAATTATATTTCGATGGTCTTATGAAACACAACGGAGTTTATCCAACCGAAATGATTTTTACTCTTGATTCTCCTTTTAGTCCATTTAGAAAGGTAAAATTTACTGAAAACATCACTAAACAAAAAGGACAGTTCGAGTTTAATTCTAATTTGGAATGGGAAGGAGTGAATAAGATAGAAGCTTACATTTCAACTATAAATAAAAATCGATACATGGAAGTCAAAGCAAAAGTTAATACACCATTCAAACAATTCCGTTCGGCAGACATTGAAGGTAGTATTGCTAACGAAAATGCTAATTCCTTAAATGGAAAACTTAATATAAGAACACCTTTCCAATCTCTTCAGAATTTAGAAGTGAACGGCTCCTATCAGAAATCTTCAAATTCATTAAATTTTTTAGTAACAGTCAGTAATTCAGACAAGAAATTCAGCGTAGCCGGAAGTTACGTTAACAGTAATTTAGATCCTTTTGAAATTAAATTTAACATAAATGCACCTTTTACTTCTTTTCGCACATTTAATGTAGAAGGAAATTTAAATGTTCAAGGATCAGAGTACATCAATGGCGCCTTAATTGTCAGTAAAGGAGGCGAAGATCATTCTGTGACATTCAGAACAAGAAATACTAATGGACAATTAGACGGAGATATTAAATTTGACTCTAGGTTAATATACTGGAAAAAAGTATCAATTTATTATCAGGCTAATTATGTAGATAGCAAAAATATGGATGGGAGTATTAAAATAGAAACTCCTTATCATTCGCATAGATTAAGTGGAAATTACCGAAGTGGACGACGTGATCTCGAAGCTACACTTAGATTAAATTCTCCTAGGATTCTGATTCACAAAGAAGAAATGGTATTTAAAGTTATTTATAATACAAGAAGAAATCGCCTTGATTTTAAAGCATCAATAGATGATCCACTAGAAGGACTTCACAAATTGGAAGCATTTTACAATAATGACAATCGAGAGATTACAGTTGAATTTAATTTGAATAGTTCGTGGTTATCATTTAAATCATTTAACGCTAAAGGGAAATTTATTAACAGTAATGACAGAAACATGGAAGTTCTTGCTACGATACTTACTCCTTCTTCCACCCATTCTTTAGAAGGAATTATAAAGAATTACGATACAGAAAAAGACTTGCAAATTAAATTAATCAGCCCACTTTTTTCATTCAAAACTTTAACATTAACTGGCAGCATGAGAAATGATAATTCCAGAAACATGGATGGTTCTCTGACAATAGCAACTCCTTCTAAAGAACTTAGAATATCTGGAAATATGAAAAGAATCACATGGAATAACTTCGAAGCTTTTGTTACGATAAATACTCCTTTCGAATGGTTAAAAGTATTACGAGTAGATAGCAAATATTTGAATGATAGGAATGAGAACATCGAAGGAAATTTGGAGATTCAGTCATCAAACGAAAACATGAGAAAGTTTGGTATCTCTGGAAAATATCATCATGGTCAAGATGTCGAGGAGCTTTCAGTTAATCTCAGATTACCGAGTCGTCAATATCCAACAGTTGGACTTTTGAGTACTTTGCGTCACGTTCCTGGATCTTTCTCGCCAAGAATAACCATTTCATTGCCTGGAAAAAGATATAGTATTTTCTCAACTTACGAACATAAATATGATGAGACCACTGCTGGATTAGGCTATGAATGGGGAAGAGAAAAAGCAGAAATAAATGGTCATTTAAAATTTAATGATAAAGGTTTAAATGGAAAATTGAGTTTAACTAGTCCATTTAAAGACTACGAAAATCAAGAGGCAAGCTTAATTTATAGTAGAGAAAGAAGTCGTCATAATGTTGCTCTCACATACAAAAACGCAAGAAACGAAATTGTTAATATTAGAGGACATGCGGGTTATTATAATAATATGAATTTCAACGTGGAACTGAATTTCGCTACCCCTTACAGAGGATTCGAAGATGTAGTGTTTCGCATGAGACAAGAAAACCGAAGGAACAGATTTGCAACAACTCTAGACTGCACTTGGTCCCGATATAAAAAGGTAGGAACTTTTAGATTTAGAATCACTAAATTATTGTGTGTTACAGATTAGAATTAAGACATTTGATTTAAGCTTCATTTTGTTTTTGTATAGGTGGCTTTTACTTTAGAAAGGGAATATAACAACACACACAATTCCGGTTACATTTACGTCACTTCACCCTACGAATTACTCCGTACAATGAAAATGGACTATGCCACTGAAGATAATTATTATAACACAATAGGAAATGCACAGTTAGAATATAATAATAAAGTATTGTTCAAAACAGAAGCATCTTCGCTTTACGATAGAAATACACGCAACTACAACAGAAATTTCGTAGCAAATCTTCCTACAGTGCCTTTCACTATTTCTGTCCTCTTTAAACCTCTTACCTCTGGAGCTGAAAGCACAATAAAGACCAATTATCCTTCCAGATCAATAAGTCTTCACACTGAGTATCAATTGACGAAAAATCATTTCAATCACGGTGCAGAATTGACTTGGGATGAGAAGATGCGCCGCTCTATGAGCTATGAAATGAGACTTGCCGATATACCAAGTGAAAATGATGCTAAAGAATTCTACGCACGCCTAAATTTGCCTATAAGATCGATGGAAGTGAGAGGTAAACATGCCATTTTGCAAAACGGTCGCAACATGGAGATGAATGTATATTGGGATGTAGCAAGAGATGCTCAGAAGTATTTAACTTTAAAAATGGAACACGAAGACCAGAGTAACTGGCAAAATACCGCTCACAAATTAAGAGTTTCCGTCAATCACCCTCGATTATCAAAGGTAAGTATCATCTTAAGAATTATTTAAAATAGCCCCTAAATTTGAATACAAAATAAAATTGCTTTAAATTACAGGATATAGTAGCTACTGCTCAAGTATCATCATCAAAGGCAGAGGCTTTTGGAAAACTAGAGCTTGAATACTCTCGATACCAACAACATAACATGATGCTAGAAGGTAGATTAAGAAATATGGCTAGAGGAAGAAGAGACACCAACTACGTAGTATACGTCACAGCTCGTCACCCCATTAGTAACACAGACTTGAAAATGATGGGAGAAATAATTAATAATGATGAAGAAGCATCCGTTAATATGAGAATGGATTATATAGATAGACAACAACGACAAAGAATAGAAGAACTAAAAGGAAAAATTTCCAAACTTAGAGAACAGATTGATTTAATTGTAAGTTGTTTTCTCTGTTCAATATTAAGATGTAATTTTACATTTAGATAACAATACGTATTTTAACGCAGGCAAAATCTGATAACAATCAATTGGCTATGACGGGAAGAATGTTTCACATGGATAACGAATTTACATTAGCACTCGAAGAAAAGATCAACGAACGTCCACCTGTCCATTCGCACGTTAGATTAAGTAAAAGGAACATGAATATGGATTTGAATATCACGACTCCTAGTTAGTATTAAAAATCAGCTTTAAAGAAATAATAATAAAATATATAATAATAATAATAAGATAATAATAATAATAAATCTTGTCAGATTTTTATTCTAAACTCGACATTACAAGTAATATAATTTATGTTACGTTATAGGTCAAGAAAATATGCACGTAAGAGCAGCTATGCCAAATGATGCCGTCCATTTTGAAATTTCTCATACTGAACGCGGGAGACGTATATCTGATGTTTTATTTAATCTTGGATTAAAGGAATCGCGAATTTTAAAATCAAGAATGACATGGAGACCACAGATATGGCAAAATGTCAAGGTAAAACTTATTTTCTGAATATTAAAAAATGCATATATATATATATATATATCAAGTAAAATTAAAAATTTATTTGTAATTAAAGGATGCGCTCTCTAATAAGTACAATGAAGTTTCTGATGTTGTCATTGTAAAAAAAGATAAAATTGTTTCCGAATTTACAAATGAATTCAATGCCAAGAAGCAGGCCATCAATCAAGCCATGCTGCAAGAACTGGGACCATTTAAAGAAGAAATGTCTCGTGATATGGATAGATTTAGATACGACGTTAAACGAATAAACAATGATCTGTATACCATGTATCAGAATGATGAATTTTACATCCAGACTACCTCCGGAAAAGTTGGAGCTGCTTATGAAGTCGTAAGGTGAGTGGGAATTTAAATATTTTAATGTTGACTATGTAATGTGTATAAATTAAAAAAATTCTTGTTTATAGTTCGTACACAGAAGCAGGCTTAGAAAAAGCAAAAAGAGAATTGGAAGAATTGAAATACAACCTGGCAGAATCTTATGACAAAGCAGCGAAAAGTATGAGCAACTACTACAGACGTACAACTCGCAAAATTGTTAATATGTACAATCGAGTAAACAGACAAATGTACGAGTTTGCAGATTATGCAATGGAAAATCTTCAAGAATATTTATATGATTTGGCTACAGTAGTGTCTATTCGCATCTCTCAATTGACCGTATATGTTGTAAATACTATAGGCGATTTCGTCACTAGATACGCTCCTTGGATGGAAACCTATTACGAAAATTACAAAGATAAAATCATCACAGTTTTCAGAAATTTCTTAGGTTAGTATTTGAATATATAAATCCATTGTCGTAAATTTTAATGATTATATATACATATTTTTCTTTTCTTAAATAGAAGCACTTTATGATAATGCATATTATAAAGCTCTACGAGAATACTGGATCAGAGTGCTCAGTACTATTGAAGAATTCAGCCAACAACCGTTTTCAGAAAGATTTGAAAGAGTTGTAAATACCATAAATGATAATTTGCAATATTATTATGAAACAGGAAGAGAATTTCACGATAAATACATAAGAGATTATTACAGGAAAATTTATGAACAAGTAAATTAAAATATTTATAATTTAAATTTTACATAGTTTAATTTATTTTTTTATATTTTTAATATTTAATGATTTGGCAGGGTTCTCAAATGTACAGAACTCTACGTTTGGATGTAATTATGAATGCTCTTGCAGAGAGTACTTACCAAAAAGCAAGAGCCTTGCTGATGAACACGGCTCGTGGATTTTTGAACGAATATACTAACATTCTGAAAGGAACTAAATGCATATTCGAACCTCATCACGGTAAAATAATCTTGGAAATACCATTGCCATATCCGAAAAGAAATCTGAAAGAAGCTCTAGATTACAGAACTTATCCAGAATTTCAGAAATTAGTCGAATTTAAAGATACCTACCTGTCAAACGAAGACTATTGTATCTGGGATACGTATTACAAATACAAGCATTATTTAGAAGAAAGTCTGAAAGTCCCACCGTTCGACGGTAAACAATAAATAGAAATGAGCTTTTATAAATGATTAATTAATTCGATTTTAACAAAATTACTATTTACTTCTTTTAGCCTATGCGATGATAGCCGGAAATCAACATTTCGTTACTTTCGACAAAACTCATTTCGACTTCTTGGGAGAATGTAGCTACTTACTGACTCGCGATTTCGTAGATGGAAATTTCACCGTCATCGTAAACTACGCTCGAGTTGGAAGACATCCAACAATAGTCATGAAATCTCTGACTATTCTCTCAGATGACAAGAAAATAGACATAGGATCCGATTACAAAATAACCGTAGATGATACTAAAGTAGAATTACCCCAGCTTTTGGATGAAACCTTAATAATGAGAGAAGGAAGCGTTGTGGTAGTGGAAAACGGAAAAGGCATTCAAGTCCGATGCAATTTCATCCATAACTTATGCACTGTTCATGTTTCCGGTTTCTATTTTGGCAAAACTGCAGGTCTCTTCGGTACTTATGATTACGAACCCCAACTTGACATGATGACTCCCGATAGAAGGTTAGAAAAGAATGTGGAGGCTTTCGTAAACAGCTGGGAAGTTAGTGGTGGTGGATGTAGAAAATCTAACATGGCTTCCATTGTTAGCAACGATTACAGAGTTCAAGAAGCTTGCAAGAAATTATTTGATAATAAAAACTCTATCTTTAGACCATGTTATAAACAGGCAAGTTATAAATTCGTTTGAAATTAAATTAAATTTTATTTCTTACTTACCGGAATTGTTGTATTTAGGTTGATCCTCTTAACTTCTATAACATGTGCTTGAAAGACCTGGCCAGATATGCACCAAATATGTTTGATGAGAAAATCTGTACATCTGCTGCTGCCTATAGAACCGAATGCAGCGTGGCCGGTGTGCCCGTTCGTATGCCTAAGTCTTGTGGTAAGTTTCGATATTATAAATCGAATTTTAATACGAAAACTCTGTACTAATATAAATTTTCTATAGTACGTTGCGAGAAGCACGACGGTAATATCATGAACGAAGGTGATGTCATCAAAATTACAAATGCTGAACCAGTTCAATCTGCAGATGTTGTATTTATAGTAGAAAAGAAACCTTGCAATAGAGATCATGTCAGGATGCTCGGAAAATTAGCACAGGATATCGAAAATAGTTTAAGCCAAAAAGAATACACAAATATTAAATATGCTGTGGTCGGATTTGGAGGACAGAATATACAGCAACCACATTTGCAAACTAGTGATGGAGAAGAATTTGTCGACTTCAGATCTATTGATTCGGCTTTCAGTTCGTTGATAAATGACTGGTCAGAAGATGACAAGCAAACTAATTCCGTTTTCGAAGCCATACGTTATGCAGCTGCTCTACCATTCCGCACAGGATCTGCCAAAACGTTCATATTATTGAAATGCTCGGATTGCAAAGCTGAAGATGTTAAGGTACAGGTAGAATAACTTTAAATGTTAATTTTATGTCAATTCGTGACTTAACATCGTTCTTTTTTCAATCTGTTTAGGCTGACTATAGTGAGATGTTGAGAACTTTGTTGGATGGGGATGTTGTTTTGCATTTGATGATGGAACATGAATTTGAAATGAAGAATAGCAAGTCAAAAGGAAAACGAATACTTGGTAAATTATGTTTAATTAATGCGATATGTCAATAATACCATATACTTTCAAAATTAGAGTAAAAAACCTCTTTGAATTTTTTCTACAGGAATCGATAAAAAAGTTGCCTACACCTTGAAAGACTGGAAAGATCCCTCACTGAGAGGAGACAGAGATTTGTTGGCTCAGCTGAAAATACCAAAAGACTTCTGTGTGCCTCTTGCCTTGGAAGTGAACGGCAGTCTGTTTGGCTCTCAAATTTTGAGAGAATCAAAACGTAACGTAAATAAGAAATTTATTGACGTGTTCTCCAGAAGAGTGGCCAAGACAGCGACACCATCCGAATGTCAAGTATGCGAGTGCATATCTACTTCTGATGGTATAGGCAAAAGTGTTTGTCAGAGATGTGTTTCTCCAATCATAGCTAACATGATTTCAGTAAGTATCTCTTAATTGTTAAATATTAAATTAAAATCTCTTAACCTCGAATTATTTGAATAATAATAACGCTACCACAGTCAAGAACTTCTTAAATACAAGATATATAACGGCACTTAAACTTGATAAGACAGTTATTTTAAGTAACTGTGACAGTCCGGGCAAAGTATCAGTCAGTATCATATTTACATTATTATTGTTTTTACTGTTTAATTGTCTTTTTGTTGATGCCAGTGCCTAGCACTATGTCGGATAAAAGTAAAGGCATTGCTAATGAAAAACAGTTATTCCATTTATGTTCTGGCATCAAAGTTGGCATATATATCAGTACTTAAACATGTCACACAGAAAATTCTTAATATGATTGATGTGGCATATGTACTGTTATTAAGACCCAATACTTCTTACTATTTATATCATTTTATTTTTGTACCTTATCATTTATATTCGAATTAATTTAAACTACAATTGGTGTTGTTAATGAGCAACACCATCATATGGAATATAGGACGAGTCTCAATTTTGACATTATGGACAGGTCTGATCATAGGGGGAACGATAAACAAAGCTCTAGTACGAAGTATCTGTAAAAAGCGAAGTGAATAGGCTCTTTAACAAGTGATACCTCGAATATTTTAATGCGAGGTATCACTTGTTAAAGACCTATCACCGAAATATAATGATATAGAACTTGTAAATCATTAAACTGCATCTTTTTCTTTTCAGCCTGATATCATCTACCCGTCCGGCTCTAGCAAAAATGATGATGATGATGAACTGTCAGTAGATCTTTTGCATCAATTACAGGACCCACTCAATGAAGAAAGATCAAGATGAAATAGAAATTAGATCGAAATAATTCTATTAATTTTTCACACGTATTCATTATTATATGGTTTATATTGTATTATTAATAATGTTATTATGTAAAGATTTTTAATAATATTTTCCATTAGTTAAAAGATGTTTTACTGCAGCGCCTTTTCAATGCATTCCATTCACAACAGAAATTATTTCCAATTTCGACCACTTGTGTGATGTCATTTTTGTGTTTGTATTATTATATTTGTTCGTGTATCGATTTGTATTCAAACTATTCAAACTGTGATTTGTAAATTTAACAAATGTTTAGTAAAGAAATTATGATTCAATATATTTAAGTGTAGTTTATGTATGGTTTATTTGAAATCATCATTACAATAATATACTGTAAATTATTTTTTCAGTGTAACTTAATACACTTAAAGATAATATTTCAATGTTTAATACACATATTTCTTAGGATTAGAAGTTTATTCTCCAGATTTAAAGGTTCGATATCATCAGTACATGTAAATATTCACGTTTTAAAATAAAACACTATTCCTGAAGTAACACGAACCAAAAATTGTATACTGTATAGGAAAATCAAGGATTTAATTACAGTTTTATTCTGTTGAAGTAATATGAACATCTAAAGTTAAAAAAATCCAGCAACGAGTTACGTAACTTTCCCGGCAACAACTTTTAAAATAGAGTATTATAATAGGTGATACCATCTATTATTATATTTTTTAAAACACTTTTTATATAATCAACTATAAAATGGCAAAAAGCTTAATTTGAGAGCAGGAATGGGTTTTATATAAATTTGTAAATGCAAATAACGAGTAAAATAATACTTAATTAAACAAACTTATCTACATTAGTAAAACCAGATAAAATAATTTGCCGATTTTTTAACACGCGCATTCGTAAAACCTACTTTATTATACAGTATAACGGACACCCCTTCGCCCGAATTACTCCATCAACCCCAGGTTTTTTTGAGTTTTGGCCTTTTTTTCTCATACTCACCGTGGATTTGGCCAGGTGATGGGGGACAGGACCCGACATATCCGGATAGATCGCCTACGAAAACTTTCCGGGTCGATCCACGTCCCTGTGTGTTAGGCAATTCGGCCTTTACCCCTGGCTTAAAATAGGCTGTTTCATTTAATTTTACGGATTTTTGCTGCAATTTCATAAACTTAATTATATTTGTAATTCTGTATTCTTAAAATGCTGCGATGTGGATTTATGTATATTGTTATTATACCAAAAACTGAAATTGATATTCGTTTCACCGCTTCGCTCCTGAATATATATGGAAAAAAACTCAGAAATGTTTAATACATTGACTGCAAACTTTTTTTATTCACTGTCATCGATACAATAGATGCTTCACAATAAAAGGTCATCTGACACATGAATTACAAAAATGACTACAAAACAAAGTATAAGACCAACATGGAATAGATTTTTTTTTTTTTTTTCTCTTTTTCAATAGGCAATCGACAGTAGAGAATATTGATCTGGCCGTTTCAGAAAAATTCACTGATGGGTGTCTTTTTTTTTGTTTTTTTTTATTTAAAATGAAACATTCAAAGAGACAGGCTTATAAATTGTACATGGATAATAAATACACGAGATACTAAAACCCTGTTCTGATCTCGTAAGAGATTCGGCAGCCATCAGAACTCTCGAATGAAAAAAAGATATTTCATTAATAAATACTGAGCATTTAAAATACCTGTGGCAGGTTTGTACTTGGAGCTGTGAATTGCTTTTTTTTTTTTTCCTCTGGTAACATTTTTATTTTGATAATATTTTCTTTTTTAATACTTGCATTAATCCCAAATGGAATAGCTAACTTGTTTTTTTTTTTTTTTTTAATTTTTAAATTCATTAATTACTAAAAACAAAACAACATTTCACAAAAGGCACAGAACCAATTTGATCAATTTATAGCAAAAGATTGATCAATATTGCAATAGTTGTACAGTTACCATAAATATTTTGGGACATGGCTTGCATTCACAGACTATATGAAGTCCTATGTTTTGAATATGGTATGACCTGTGAAGATTAAAACAATTATCAAACAAATAACAATAAGAACGTCAATGTTATAAACATAACATCGCTTCATTTTTTTTATAACTTTCAATCCATCTTTGTATTAAATTTTCTCTTCTGTAAAAAGAACACAAAACTGACATTTAATCATTTATAAAAATGTCTTGCACGATCCTGAAATCTAATACACGAATAAGGAATAAGTTATTACAAGAAAAGTGTAAAAAAAATCATATTTTCATAAGAATTCACTTCTAATATAAATGACAAGATACATCTGCTAAAAGATATAAGAAAAAGTTCAATATGTAGACTGGGTGTAATAAAAAGTTGCTGGTACATCCAAACATTAACAAGCAGGAAGACTGTACACACTGTGAGAATAGGCAGATAAAGTGGCATCACTAAGAATCAACAGATACATCTGTGCTTCAAAAGCAGATAACTGAATGACAAATTGGATAATACTGAGATTTTAGGATAAGAAATAGCCAACAAACATGTCAGATGATCATCCATTGGTGATTTCAAATGATTAGCCATTCGATTTCGTGACCAGATATTACAGTAATTGTGAGGCTAAAACCATTCTCGGTCTGTCGATAACTAGTCTATTTACTGAGCACGAATCTTCGAAGTGCTGAGCGTTTTTTGCTTGACTGTTTCGTTTCTGTTGTCCGTTGTGGAGCTGTTTAATTGCTTGCTATATCTGTATTATTATTATTTATTATTATTATTATTAAACCTGCTGGAACTTATAACATAACAAACTTTGTGCTATTAATTGTTGTACAGTTTCTTCCACATATTTTTTGTAACAGTTTCTCAACAGAATATCACCTCAATATACATTATATAGATTTTCTTTTATATATTTTGTATATATACTTGTGACAAGATGTATATGGCTCATAATCCATCATAAAACTTTTTAACAGATACAATTTTAATAAGATGTGTAATTCAACATTTCTCTCAACACAACTCTTCAACTGAATCTAACTATTTAGGCTCTTTTTTTATTATTATTATTTTTTTTATTTAACTCCTCGTCACTCTACTACCTAGAGGCACTGTTGGTATTGTTTCCACGATCTGGCTGCAATATCCTTATGAGTTGAACTTTGTTAATGGAATGTTATTAATAGGGATACGATAGCTGCACTTCCTGCAGAAGACTTCGAATGCATTTTCTTAAATGCTTTTATATATATAGATATATACATTGTGTGTGTATATATATATAACTCTAGATAGAGTCTTTTATTGGCACCGGGTATGCTTGCAACCATGAATGGTCGACGAAAGTCTACTGGAGACAAACTCAACCGTGAGATTCCGACGATCCGATGCCCATATGTTGTCCACAATAGCAAAACGAGATTAAAGATGGAACTGCATATTTGGCATCAGACCCAGGAATCACCACCTTGGGCATCCACTTGATGATCGAGTAACAAAGGCTGGGAAGACATGTCAGGATGACGTTTCTTTTTATCTCGATTCACCTGGGCATAGAGGGGTTCGTGATGAGGCTACAAAACAAGATAAATTGAATTTATAATTAAGTATTTACAAAACAAGTAGAAGTAACATATAATTATTTAATAAGTATTTTTATTTTAAAACAGATTTTAAATAACTTAAATAAATTTACACGAATAAAACATATTAAACAAATACAATAAAACAAATTTAAATAACTTTATTCAATATAAAATTAATTGGATTGCATATATAACAAAATTTACAATTATTACACATTGTTTAAATTAATTTGAATTTCTAATTAATAATAATGGAATTACCTACATTTTCATTTTTAATTTCATAAATGTTTGAACATTTATTTTATATTTCCAAACTTTTGGTAATCATATTTAATTTCTTAAGTAGATATGATCTATAATATTAATGAATTAAGAATAAGAAATAAATTCTTTTTAAATAATGATAATTTGTATGATTAGAGAGTAGTATTTAATCTAAAAACACTTCAAGTTTTTAATTTATACTGAGAAATAAAATTAAATTGATCATAATATACAGACCAGAGATGATGAACCCTGCAGAATTATAGATTACGAAAGTATGTTTTCTGTTCTTCGTCTATCTAAATATATTATTTTATACTAGTGGACAACTCACAGTATCCTTGGGATAAGGAATTGGGAGCATGAAATAATAATCATGCTTCCAACACCAACTATAAAAATGGATTACAAAATTTCTTTGTATACTACATTTAAGGTGGTAAATCGAATAGAACCCAAGTCCTTCTGGTTACTTTGACTCTCAATGAATATCTAAACTATTGCAGGACCACAAATGATTCATAGAATCTTAAAGCTGTCCATGAGCAAAGGTAGATGGAAGGTAGAAAAACTATTAAAAATCGATTGATGGACACTTAAAACATGTAGAAAATTCATATCAGAACTCTTTATTAGGACCTATATATACAGATGCATATATAGTTTGTGAATTCATGTCAGTGGACCAGATACTAAATTGTTGCAAAAACTTGTTCAATTACCTTCAACAAAATGTGGGAAATTTCAGAACTTTGGAACTCTAAATCTCTGGAATACACTGCCAGATCCATAAAAAAAGTAAGTTTATTGTTCATCTAAAGACCCACCTTTATGAATCAACATCTAAATCTTCAATTAAATCTATTGAAAAATCTAGGAGTTTAGCTAACAAAAACCTCCTTAGTATAATATATATATATAGATTATACTAAGGAGGTTTTTGATACTCGCAATTTTTACATTTTTGGATTCTCCATTAAAAAAAGTCAATAACTTGAAAATACCTTATATGAACATTCTGTATATTCAGCATAAAAATATACAGTATATATATATATATTTCTATGCTGAATATACAGAAAGTTGATATAAGGTATTTTCAAGTTATTGACTTTTTTTAATGGAAAATCCAAAAATGTAAAAATTGGGAATTTCGTTTGAAATTTGAAGTTGTTTCCGCTGTCCCACTCAGAAGAAAGTGTGAGGCTTTAGTTTTTCAACATTAAAAAAATGCTGTAAAACTAAAGACCCTTTCTCAACTGCTAAAAAGGCCCCTTGAATATACCAAACTTTTAATCTTAGCAATGCTTATTATTAAAAACATACTTTCTGGGTATGAAATACTGTATCATGTATACACTTAATTTAAGAAATCTGCAATATAATGTGACCTTTCAATTAAAACACCTCATATTATAAATAGTATTTTTCTGGTTTTGGATAAATTTAATTAAATTATTTTCCACATAAGCTGCATTAATTAATTAATTATTTAACTTTTATCTTGAAAAATGTAATGTTTTATAGAAATGTAAAGTAGGAAATATAAAATTTTCATACAAATAACAAAATTTTATAATTCCTTGAGAATCTTTCTCGTTGAATGAGAAAGTTATAAAAGTCGTATCTTGAGAGTCTAAATATCAGAGAAAATATTGATTTGAAATCAACTTAATTTATTCTATTATAATTTTATTTGGACAATTTTTCAAGTACATTTAAATTCAGGATTAATATAGGAAAGTGCATTTTGAAGTGTTTAGAATGTTTTCAGCAATCTGTTCATTAAGATTATAAGTTAAGATAAAGTAGAATGACATATTTTTAAAATAAAATGTTTTTGGGTGTCCGAATTAAACTATAAACTTATAAACTAGTTTCCTTCAGCTCACATGACTGAAAATACAGTGGTATCTCATACTTCAAATGTTTCAGAGTTCAAACAATCATTCTACATTTGAACTGTACACACAGTGAAAAATGTACTCGCTGTGTAAATGCCATCTGTTGTGCTCCTAAGTTGTTTCTCACTCTCTGTGAAAGCATCTCTTGCAATACACTCATGTGTTTGCAATACACTCATGTGTTTTCAATGCTTTTCTTGCTTTACTTTTTAGTGTGTTTGGTTATATATAAAAACTCCTATCTATTAACCATGGCATCCAAGAAGAGTGTAGAGGCAACAAAGTCTAAGAGGAAGGTTGTAGTATTGATGATTAAAGTGAAAAAGAAACTTATTACAAAGGAATATTTGAGTTTAAGTTATCATTGTGGTTAGACCTACATAATAAACTTGTAATATTGTAATGTTAATGAAATAAACACAAGTTGCGAGTGTTTTAATGTTATGTTATATTAGAACTAGTGGCTGGAATATCAAATACACTTGAAAATTGAACCTAAAAATAAGTAATAATAATTCTTCACACTTCTCTCAGTCTTGTACTTCATTACATGTACCTCATAGTTTGAGAATCAGTAATGATGATCCCTATTTTAGACAGAAAAATTTTTTGAACAGAAGATTAGCTCATGTAACCAGTAATGGTGCATGAAGTTAGTTCATGGTACAATGGCACCATACATATTGCAATAATATCAAATTATATTAATGCTAAATTTAATTAAGTATTGGATATTGTAAACAGAAAAGCAGCAAACAAAACTTGAATGAAGATTTGCTTGATCAGTATTATTAAAGAAGTATAATCATTGTCTCACTGTTTAGAATGCAATAACCCACAAGGTTTCTTGTGGGGCCACAGGGACAAATGTGCTGAAATATGTCAATGTTTTTTCCTCCAATATTAATACTAAATACAGTGCTATCCAAATTTTGCACCAGTTACAAAATCTGGTTAGTTCTCATAAGTGTCCAGTGTTCACATTAGCAGCAATAAGTAAAGATCAAAAGTACTTTATGACCATTAATGGTTTATTAATCTAATTTTCAAACATTTTGTTTTCTTATAATAGTGTTATGGAGAAGAGATTGGTTTGGTAATTTTTGTAGAGGAGATAGGTTAGATGGGACACTACACAAATAGTATGTCAAAAGAAGTTGACCATTGCTGATTTAGAATACTTACCAATTTAAAATTTTTACATTTCAGGAAAGTTATTGACATAGTTTTTTTCCGTATCAGATTTATTGACAGTAAAATAGATAAACTAATTAAACAAATTTCCATCCCCAGAGGAACAATTTGATACAATTTAAAAAATATTTCTGCAAAAACTACCTTCCAAGGTATATGCTTCACTAATATTTAGTCTTTAATTGATTATGCTTTACCCACTTGGGCTTCCTCTTCTACTCTTTTGAAAAATATATTTCAGAAAGTTTGGTATTTACCTTCTCCTATACAGGCTATTTCATCTGCCTTTTACTGATTCACTTGATGTTACTTGTATTTGCTTAAGACTTCCTTATCGTACTAAACAGATTTCTTATTTTTTATCAGCTATTTACGTAGAAATACTATAACAGTTTGTTTCCTTCTCACTGTATTATCCTAAGAATCATGTCTGTCTGAACCAGAAATAGTTCTTTTTTTTTTTTTTTATGTTCCATTTTCTCACCTAAATATTACTATCCATTCCTTCTTTTTCTGTTATTATAAATCTAACTGTAAAAGAATATTATGATAAAATACTGTAGGTATTATATATCTTTGTCTCAAATTATATATAATTTATGTTCTTGTGTTTTTTCATATTTTTAATGAGCTTTGTTATGTTGGAGCAGCAATTATTGTCCTTGTGATAATGCCTATATTAATAAATAAAGGATAATAAGTAAATATTAGTAAAAAGAAAATTAAAATATATAAAAGTAATTTAGCTTGTACCAGTACATGACTGAATATATTTTGACACGATCTATCTTTATATATTTTGGATGCTTTTAAAAAAAATTGAATTCTCATAGCTCATGCTATGTAATGTTATCACAATATGCTCTTATGAAATATATATCAATAATCAATACTAATGTGGTAAAGATAGCATAGTTTCTTAACTTTCACAATTTTATCATCAGTCTAGTAAAGTAAAAAAATAAGTATACACTTTTATCTGTAAAAGAATATTTACGTTTATGGTCATTAAAATTTATATTCGGAGAGAAATTTTTAATTATATAGTTCAAAGCTTATAATAACTTAAAAAAATATATGTTAAATGTTCAAACATTTTTAAGATTAATGATTAGCTATCTTAAATTGAATAATAATTTAAAATAATTTGTCAATTCTATTATTAATTTTAATTTATACAAGATTTTTCAAAAAATAATCCAAAGATGAAACAAATTTGATAATTAAATTTTCAGAATTATAAAGTCTAAAATATTTATGAATGACAATACTATTGATAAATACAGAATTTATTTATTGACATCATAAAATTTAATTCTTTCATCAAAAAATTAGCATGCATTATAATAAAATTTTCATTCCTAACATTGAAATATCTTGTATAATTCAACAAAAACTAGACTGTTATGGCAACATATTCATAAATGCAAAATTATCATCAACAAAAATTAAATTTGAATAAATAATAATTTATAAAGCATCAATTATTTGAAACATAGCTTCATTTTACAAATTTTGAATTAAAAAATTTCATTAATATTAATATATACTAATTTATTATAAACTACAAAAACATACAATTTTCCTGGAGAAAAAATAAACTGAAAACAGTCTAGGGTTTTCATATCTTTAATTTTGAATAATAAACTTACATGAACTTATCTATTTATAATCACGAGTCTATCCTATCAAAATATACAGAATAATTCATTTCTGTACTATTGACACCCACCCATCAGGCCATTTGTTGGACTACAGGCTAGAAACCCTGAGGTGGTGGCTAAAACCAGATAAAAATGAGAAGACAAGCATCAAGGAAAGAGAATGCAGAGAAAGAAGAATAAGCAAATAATGTAGATAAAACTAAGAATTAATATTCATCACATTCAAGTTACAAACATACTCTAAATTTTTATATAAAATTTTAATAAATTTAAATTTTAAATAAAATATTCTTAATCAAAAAAGTGCACTAGATCATTCAAGAATAAATTACTATATATTTAAAATATATTTTTATTAAAAAAGAAAATCTAAGTGTGTTAATGTGCATTCCAATATTGCAAAATCATTAATTTTTTTTATTAAAAATAAATAAATAAAATTTGTAGTAGTAAAAATGTATAAATATATACATTTACTTATATTTATACAGATGAAGGCAAATATAATTTTGTGACATCCTTGATAAAAAAAAATAAATAAATAAAAATGCAACTGTTGCAAACATTTAAAAGCAAAAGGCATGCATCTATAAAATAAAAATTAATCACTACTTTTAGCATTTATAAATACTTTATTCTCTCTAGCAATCAATCAAACATCAGTATTAAAAATAAAAATTTCTTGTAATTACTTTACCATAAAATTGACATCATAAGTCATATTAACTTTTCAAAAATCATGCAAGTTATTTAAATATATAAATCACAGAATTATGACTATACTTTGCTGTAAGAATACAGTATTTAGAATACTTTAAGTTTTGTATTTGTAATAATAAATTATAAATGAAAAAAAGGAAAATGATTTTAAAGTCTCCTAGGAAACTGTGTTATGATTGGATAATTGAACTGAACTGATGAAAATAGATGGCTTCTTCAATAATTATTATTACTACAAATAATTTTCAGTTAAAAATTATATATTTGGAAAATGTGATTCATTAAATAGTTAGTTGTAGAATTTTTAATACTTTAGAATTGAATATAAATATTAAAACTTCAAGTGCAAAAAATAGAATAATTATTAATGATTTTTAATGTATATCTAATGCATTTACATGTTTTTAAAATTTTATTCAAATATTTTCTCAACTTATGGCCAGACATTTCAGATCACAAAGAAAACATAAAATTCAGGAAATCTTATTAAGAATTAAATTATTATAGTAATGATAAACTATTATAATATCAAAAATATTAGTTTTTAATGCATTCAAAATAAGAAATTAATTTATTAACTGCTAGAGAGAATAAATCACAAAAATAAACTTAATTATGAAATATATACATTATAGCGTTTTGAGAGACATATTAAATTTTAGGGTAACAAATAATGCAAATTAAATAAATTGACAAAATAAATTATTCTGTAATCATTAATCAAAAACAGAAAATGAGAGATTCATAGCCACAACTTCAGGAATATTCAATTTAGCAATAATTCCACCCACTAAACGTTGAAATAAAAATAACAACACACACATTATTTATTCTTACCAAAACTACTTTGAAATATAAAAGTGACCCAAATTATATAAATGGGAAAAAGAGAACTGTATTTAATTATCTTAAATTTATATTTGCAATTTTGATATCTATTTACAAGCAAACTTTAAGAATATTTTAATAACTAGCAAAACAGAAAAGTAAAATTTGAAGCTTAAGTTTCTAATAACAGCAGAAATAATAAACATAAATGAGACAGAAGAGCATTCACTGATTTTTATTTTTTTACACAGCACTGTCATTTACATGCAGAAATTTTCAACATTCTATTTTTATAAACAATTAAATCATGCTTAACTTTTTACAACAAAGATGCCACAAAGTTGATAGTGCTGTTTCTAGTTTATTTATATCTTTATAATTTTTATATTATAAAATTAATGAAAATAAAATACTGTATTAGATAAGTTTAATTTAAAAGTTTATGAATCTATTTAAAGTAATCTAAAATATTTTAAGTATTTTTTTTTTTGAAATACTTACCAATGTGGGAGGAAAAATTGGAACACCACCTACAGGTGGTTTAATAGTTTGAGATTGCATTTGAGGTTGTGATTGTGGCTGTGGTTGTGGTTGTGGTTGCGGTGGCTGTAGTTGTGGTTGTGTTTGAGACTGTGGTGGTTCTGGCATGTGAGCGAGATCATTCATAGCAAGTTCTTCAGACTATAATAAGTCAAAAGTAAATTTTTAAGTAGAAATGATAAAATTAAAATCTTACTCAGAACTAAAACTAAAGTTTAATTTATGTTTCAGAAATATGTTAACATTCCAAAACTTTATTTTGACATTTGAAAAACATTAAATTAAATTAGATATATTTGTGTACTTAGTTATTTTATTAAACTAGCATTTTTTTTTGTATTTCTAAAATATATTTTAAGTTAAAATTTGTTTTGACTAAACAGTTAATTAAATAAATAAAATTAAACAAAATATACTTATTTTATTTTCTGTTTCTTCTATCAGAAAAATTATGAGAGAAGACTATAATTTTGCTAACAGAATATAATAATCATTCATTTCCTTAATTCTATTAACAATATTTGTGATTTATAAATTAATAATAATATTAAGATCAATAATACTGTAAAGTAAAATTATATTATTTTTATAATTTACAGAAACTATAAGTGATTTCAGATGTGGAGAGCAATGTGTCAGATGCACGTAGATAGACAATGTAATTGTGTTATTTATTAATTAAATTTGATTTTAATATTTTTCCAACATGAATTCAGTAGATTTGAAAGAAAGTTTAGCAAGACTATCTGAATTAGTATTTGAAATGTAGTAATAATATGCTCTAAAGCTGAATATGTTAAAACTATATATATATAATAATTTATTTCTAAAATATATTTATTTTAGAAANGTTTTTGCTGACAAACTTTGTAGAAAATATTAAATTTTATTATTATATCCAAACAACAGAAGCTTTAAATAAAATAATTTTTTAAATATTCTAATACTGTGTGTAAATATTACATTATTAACGAAAAATAATCTGATGTCAATGTTATCAGAATTAAATTTATTGCTAGTGTTTACTCATTAACTAACTAATGAAGCAAACATACCTCAAAACTCCACTAGCATTTCTAAATACAGTTGACCAATAAATTTCTTGTGTTTTGATTTGATCTGAAGGATCTCTGTTACGATCCCACCCGGTATGTTTTTATTAATTCCTTACAGTTAGTTTTTATTTTGATTACATTGTATATTAAAATGTAATCAAAATAAAATCTAATGCATTATTTCCACACAAAATTTAGAAAAATATAATATAATATTTACAGCATTTTTCATTTTGTTAAGTGAATTTACTAGAACATCAATATTTCATCAATAAACTAACATATAAAATAAATAAATAATCATATTTTTGCACTGGAAATATATGTTTGCTTTTTCCTTGAATCTGTGTTTTTACATTAGCTTATCAGGATGATAAAATGAACAAAAAATAGCTGGAAGATCACTGACACAATAACTAGTGCTATCGATAAACTTTAAAATGTTTTCAGTTAAGTTAGTTAATTCTCATTAAAATATTACACAATGCACTTATTATAACTAAATTTAATAATATATTTAGTTATACTTACACGACTGTATGGAACTTGTCCTGAAAAATATTTTAAAAAAAATTGAATGCAAAGTTTAGAAATAGTAATGTATTTAAATATAATAATATGATAAAGGGAGGACATAAAACTAATAAAACAAACAAACTATTTCTTAAATCAATTAAAAGTTTTAATAATACACTGATAATTTATTCAATAACTATGAGCATTTTATTCAAGACAAAACTGTGGTCTTTTCCAACAAATTGCTGGATGATGACGATGATCAAGGAAGTGGCAATAGCATTTAGCATTAACTGTCTATCCCTGTAATACACAATGAAGCAAGAGGAGCCTTGAAAGTCATGTGGTATTAACATGTGACATGGAGATGAATGGTGGTATCATTCATTCAGTTGACATTTCAACTCTGGTTCATAGTACTTGGCCATCTAGTTTCCACTTGTCATTTCTATACATCATTCGGAGTTGAGTCACCCATCTTGCAGCAATTTTAAGTATTTCCAGCTTTTTTGTCAAGATGTAGTAAATACTGGAAGCTGCAATGCCTACTTCAGCACTCTGATCATTGTTGGACAGTGTTGCCACCTTTTCAAAATTGCTGACCAGGATAGAGTAAGCAATTTTGAAAAGGTAGCTGACCAGGACAGAGTAAGCAATTTTGAAAAGGTAGCAACACTGTCTCAAACAGGTCTTAACCATTTTTGAAATTCATTTGGTGTCAACCAATCTTTATTAAATTTACAAGTTTGCTTCCTCTTTTTTTGGGTTTTCAATTTCTTGAGTTGTCATATTAAATAATTAAAATAAAAATTATAAACTTATAAACTGAAACCCTGCCACATTCACTTTACAATAGGTTTGTTCCAATACAAGTCCCTGACCAGTCTGAATCTGAAATCATACGAGACATGTGCAATGTCATTTTACAGCCAAGAATTGAACAATATGCATGCCAGTTTTAAACCACCAGTTAGGGACTTGTGTTGGAACAAACCTAATATTTGCCAGAGACATTTGCAAGTTAGAATTTTAAAATACCTTTTCTGTTACTCTTAGCCTAAGGATAAGTTTGGATGGGAGTGTGAAGTTAGTCTTTAACTGTTAAAATAAAATACTCGCAAATATTTTTATAAATTTATTTTCTTTCATCATAATTTCACAATTTCTATGAAAACTGGACAAATTAATAATTAATCTGGACCATGAATTTAAAAACAGGCTTGTCTGGTGAAACTGGCCTGGTGGCAACACTATTGTTGGACTTGTCGAGAAATTTCTCCAATAACCTCAAAACACCTTCCATATGCTATTTGACTGTTGCAGTAATTGGATACATAATCTCAGTATTCTCCTGTCCAAAGTGAACATCTTTGATACAATAAGCAACAGCATAATATGACAGTGTGGCATGGCATTGCCATATGCAAACTTTTGTGACACTTCCACAGATTTCAACCATGTGCAACTTGAATTATTATTAAACCCTGTTCTTGGCAAGTGCATTGCTTAGGGCAGTAAAATAAATGCTTAAATGTTTGACATGCTCCTATTTCTCACTACAAATGTAAGTGAAAAAAGTGCACCAATATATACATGAACAGTCAGAACAAATATTTGGTGGGTTTTTAACAATTTGTGTTATGGCCAATTGCCAGTATAAAAAAATAGTCTTTATACATTATGTTTAACTATACAATGGTTTCATCAATTTTTAACACAATTTTATTTTCAATATTTCACTATAATTAAACTTAAAAGTCCATTATGATATATAATATATATATATATACCTAATATCAGTAAAATATTTGTTTTAAATATTTTTTTTTGAGTGATAAACAAAAGCTAGTTTTTGATTAATTTAAATTAAATTCATCATTTGTTGTACATATTTGATATTGCATCAGTCATAACATAAATAAATCTAACTCATTAATTTTTTGTTTCATGTTATATAAAAAACTATAAAACTCAATGAAGAATTATGGCTGTGGTGGTGATAACTTTTCCTGAATTGAAATGCAAGAAATCAATTAAAGAAATTAATTTGATCTATACATTATATATTACTAATAGAAGACAGAAATACCAGGAAGTATGAATAATCATACTTATAGTAAAAATTGTTTTGAAAGTGGAAAATTAAATAAATAAAAAGCAAAATAATTAATACACAAATGATAGTTCTAATAGATTTTCTTTTATACTAGTTTAACTGCAAAATTAGTCTTAAAGAAAAAGTTATCAATAACAGTTTACGAGTTGATGTAATTTATTTATTTATTTTTTACCAATATCATTATGATAACCTGAATGAACAAGGTTGTTTTGAAATTTATAAAATAAAATAAAAATGTTTAAGCATTATGTTTTAGAATCATGATCAGCAAATCTCCAGAAATTATATAATGTTTTATACCAGGGCTGTGGAGTCGTGTAAAAATCTATCGACTCCGACTTTTCCTTACCATCCGACTTCGACACCGTTTCATATACATAACAAGTTGGTAAGTAAAAAGGAGTCAGAGTCGGCGGATTTTTTGACGACTCCGACTCCGGCTAAAACATCAAAACTCCACGACTCTGCAGCCCTTTTATACATAAATTCATTAAATATTGAAAGAATATGCATTAATTTAATAATACTAAAATTCTTTTTATTACACAGATAATAAATTAATGGCATCCAAATAATTACAGTAGAGTCTCTATAGTCCACCACATCAAGTAATCCAACACTCTGCAGGATAGTGCACATGAAATTTTTGGGTAACCATTTGTCTTTGTGACAGAGAGAGACTGATGCACATGTATACTGTCAGTCACTAGCTGTTTGTTGCACATGTGATCAGCAAAACAGTCACAACTGTGATTAATAAGATAAACTAACCTGTGAACTAAGTGTGTTTTTTACTATATAGTACATAAATACATATACATTTGTAAAATCCAGTAATTCAATACCATCTAGTCTAAAATATATCAGATTACAGAGACTCTACTGTACTTAAATCTAGTAGTAAAACTTCACTGAACATAAAAAAAATAACACTTTCTTATTTAATCAAAACAGTCTCTGATCTTATCTTTAATTATGCAAAATATAGTTAATATATGTTTTATAATATGCAGTTATATTGCTCAGAGATGAAAGTTTAACTGAATTAAATTTAGAAAAATTCTCTTTTTTTTTTGTAAATATCAAGAGACTGTAATAAACTAATTTTTGGGTTTCAAATATAAGATCTTATGCTGTATCTTTGCATTTAAAATTAATAATAAATAGTTAAATATTCCTATTATGAGAATCTGAAGAATTATACATCAAATTTTATTAACGATGCAAGGAAATTTATAATAGGAACATTTGTGTTATGCAAATTTTTACACTTTTTTTGCATTTACATTTGCTTGAAATGTGATAAGGATATATTGTATATCATATATTATACTGTATATTACTCTATATTATATATTTATATAGATATGAATAGTCTTCACAATTATTTTAGTAAAAACAAATTAAACAACATATGAAAGAATTTCAGAAGTAATATATACAGACAAAATTTTACTAGATAATTTCTTGAAATGTATATTTCAATTTTACATTCAAAATTCGCTAATATTTGTTGAAGAATTATTTTTTTGAAACAATACTTTGATTTTAAAATTATTCAAATTACAAGTAACAGTATGCTAGATTTTATATTTNTTATCAAATATTACAAAATCTAATTAGAATATTTGTAAAGTATTCATAAAATTTAAAATCACCTGGAGCAACAGTATTTAATTCCCTTCCTCTAGATAATGTTCTGTCCTCGTAATTTGTTCCACCTTGAGTACTAATTGGTCGACTTAGTGTATTGTTGGCACTTGCAGGAGGAGAAGCCGTAATTCGAGCAATCATTGTTCTAGTAATAAAATGACCCTCTTTCCATCCTGCTTTTTTATAAACTTCCCTAAGTTCTTGATGTTGCCACATATTAAACAAAAGCTATAAATAAATAATTCATTTTAATTATAAACTTTGGTTTATATTCAAAATTGTATATTGCATCATAAAATGGATATTATATTGAGCTTATCTGACATATGTTTGGATAAATCAAAAATAATTATCAATTATTACAAGTATTATGAATTTTTTTTCCTTTTTTAATCGGATCTCTCTTTTTGTATAAAGATTATTAGCTATGTTCTTTACTCTATAAATACTGTTAATAATTTTTATATTTGAGAACTGATAATGAGACCTAAGTCTCATTATCAGTGGAAAAATTGATAATGAGACCTAAGTCTCATTATCAGTTCTCAAATAGCTTGCTTCAGTTGCTTTTTATCCATTGAAAATTGAAAATATTTACACATTTTTCTTTCTGAAAAATGATTGCATCAAAGTGAAAATCACATCACTATAGTTAAATGTCTTTTGTTTAATTTAATGAAATTACTGTGTTTAAAGTATAAAACTATGTTGATGAATTGTACTTTTCAAAAGTGTTAGCTTTTCTATCCACGTTCTTTTGATGTCAAACTAAAAAGGCAGAGCCGGCCCTACCATAGGGCGAACAGAGCAGCCGCTCCAGGCGCTAAGCCTTAGGGGGCGCCTCAGTGGTAAAGAAAATTAAAGGGTATAAATTAGGGGCAACCAAGGGGGACGCCGTAATAGGATCTCGCTCCATCCTAAAACTTGCCTCGGGCCGGCACTGTAAAAAGGACTATAAAAATTTTAATTAGTCGATGAATACAATACAAATAATTTTAATTGAATTATCATTAATTAATATCATATGTCATTTGTTTTAGTTATTCAAACAATTTAAGACATATGGCAAAATTTAAATAATTAAACTGAATTAACAGTTTCAAAATCATAATAAATCATGAATTTTAAATACAAAAAGAAACTTTCATTTTTATTTTTTGACACATAAAAAATGACAAAATTTGAATTTTTCATTGACAATTATAATCATATGCATTTATTTATGGTAAGCATTCAAATTATATGATTTATCATTCTTATCATTTTTAATTTATTTCATAATTTAACATAAATTATCTTGACTACATTTATGTAACAGTTAAAAATTCTTTTACATTTATTAAATTATAATGAATATTAAAATAAATTCCAACTTATAATAATTTTTTAATAAATAACCATATCTTTATATATGAGAAATTTTGATATTATTTTTAAGAAATACTTGCAATTATGTGACATATTAGTTTGGAAATAAAAATATAGAATGCATATTATTTAAATTACCTGAGAGGTAAATTTCACTACTCTGGAAGAAAATTTTCCTTTCTGTTTAGTAATGTAAGTTAATCGTTCGACACCTCCCCATTCCAATAAGGAACGTGAAAAATCACTATTTTTAACAATGACTTCATTTAAAGTGGCAAGTACAGCTGCAATTGTATCATCAGAAGTTCCAGCATCATGTTGTGGGTTTCCTGGAGGAAGTTTTTGTACAAGATCCCTAATAGCATATTTGCCTAAATTGAAATATTTTCTTTTTATTAATATTTATAAATTTTATTGAAACCAAGCATAAAATTTAAATAATTTATTATAAAAATTATTTAGTACCTATAAGTTCTTTATTGCGTTGATCCATTGCTAAATTTCTTAATGCAGTAGCTACAGCACAAACAACTCTATCAACTTCCATTCTTAATAATTCTACTAATATAGGCAATCCTTTCTCTTTTCTTACTGCTGCTCTTATATCAATACTAGGCTGTAAAAGAAAAGAAATTTCTAATTTAATAAAACATTTATAAATTTAAGAATAATTTACATGAATTATTATTATTTTACCTGCCAATAACAAGCAGCTAAATTCTGAATACCTCCAGCAGCAGCTTCTAACGTTTCAGGATTAGAACATTCTGATAATAAGGCTAAATAAGGTTGAACAACTTCTGGCTGCCATAATAAATCCATTCCTTTCACTGGTTCTGATCTTGGTCTAGAACTTCCACTTGTGACAATACCATCTCTCTTTTGCTTCTCTGCACTTTGAGCTTCTTTTTTCTTCTTACTTGTGCCAAAACAACCTAAATTTTCTCCCACTTGTATTTTAGAAATAATATTCGGTGAAAACACTGTAGGATTTAAGTTTTTTTATGTACATCTTAAAAAATATTTTATAATATAAATATTATGTTAATTTTTAAAGAATTTTATTTGATTATAAACTAATAAAAATAATAGTAATAGTTTTTTTTTTTAAGAAATAAACAATATTTTGAAGATTTAGTACCTTTATTAATTGGCACCATTGCACGAGTTTGTGGAGGTGATATAATGTGTTTGTCATAATCTGGATCTTCTACTTCTTGACATCGGTATGATAAATTTCTTAGTATACAAACACAATTTTCTACACTTTTATTATCCATATCATTTTTGCCTATAGCAGCACGAACAATATGAAGTAAAGAATCTACAAGACCTTCACATTCTCTTAATTTTNAAGATCCCTAATAGCATATTTGCCTAAATTGAAATATTTTCTTTTTATTAATATTTATAAATTTTATTGAAACCAAGCATAAAATTTAAATAATTTATTATAAAAATTATTTAGTACCTATAAGTTCTTTATTGCGTTGATCCATTGCTAAATTTCTTAATGCAGTAGCTACAGCACAAACAACTCTATCAACTTCCATTCTTAATAATTCTACTAATATAGGCAATCCTTTCTCTTTTCTTACTGCTGCTCTTATATCAATACTAGGCTGTAAAAGAAAAGAAATTTCTAATTTAATAAAACATTTATAAATTTAAGAATAATTTACATGAATTATTATTATTTTACCTGCCAATAACAAGCAGCTAAATTCTGAATACCTCCAGCAGCAGCTTCTAACGTTTCAGGATTAGAACATTCTGATAATAAGGCTAAATAAGGTTGAACAACTTCTGGCTGCCATAATAAATCCATTCCTTTCACTGGTTCTGATCTTGGTCTAGAACTTCCACTTGTGACAATACCATCTCTCTTTTGCTTCTCTGCACTTTGAGCTTCTTTTTTCTTCTTACTTGTGCCAAAACAACCTAAATTTTCTCCCACTTGTATTTTAGAAATAATATTCGGTGAAAACACTGTAGGATTTAAGTTTTTTTATGTACATCTTAAAAAATATTTTATAATATAAATATTATGTTAATTTTTAAAGAATTTTATTTGATTATAAACTAATAAAAATAATAGTAATAGTTTTTTTTTTTAAGAAATAAACAATATTTTGAAGATTTAGTACCTTTATTAATTGGCACCATTGCACGAGTTTGTGGAGGTGATATAATGTGTTTGTCATAATCTGGATCTTCTACTTCTTGACATCGGTATGATAAATTTCTTAGTATACAAACACAATTTTCTACACTTTTATTATCCATATCATTTTTGCCTATAGCAGCACGAACAATATGAAGTAAAGAATCTACAAGACCTTCACATTCTCTTAATTTTTTACGTGCATATTCACCAGCAGAACTTACATTCCTTAAAGAAAAAAAAAAGATTTTTTGAATCAATCAAATTTAAACCAGAACAGAGAAATTGAATTAAATATATTATTTTGATCATTAAAGCTTCTCTTTAAATAAAACTAAGAAAGAATTAAATAATTAAAAAACAGACATCAGTATTATAGTAATTTAACTTGCAAAACTGACAAGTATATAATTTTCTGAATTAGGTTCCATCTGAAAAGCATTATGATTTGATTAAATGTGTCAAACTGTCAGTCAAATAGTTTTTTTCCTAAACTTCTTTTTCAAAAGTAAAATTTGAATTTGTTATTTTTTCAATAATTATATTCAAATGCTTGACAACAATTTTTAATCAATGTACAAGAAATGAAAACTAAAGATTATTTATGACAAACAGGTATTCATTATTACCTACTCATACATAAAGTAACCATAAAGTATAAGTTAAACTGAGTAAAAAATTGTTTTTGCTGACAAACTTTGTAGAAAATATTAAATTTTATTATTATATCCAAACAACAGAAGCTTTAAATAAAATAATTTTTTAAATATTCTAATACTGTGTGTAAATATTACATTATTAACGAAAAATAATCTGATGTCAATGTTATCAGAATTAAATTTATTGCTAGTGTTTACTCATTAACTAACTAATGAAGCAAACATACCTCAAAACTCCACTAGCATTTCTAAATACAGTTGACCAATAAATTTCTTGTGTTTTGATTTGATCTGAAGGATCTCTGTTACGATCCCACCCAGAATGAGGAATTATGACGTGATTAACTAATACCGTGAGAGCATCATCAATTATGGGCTTTTTGAGTTCCTTGAAATATTTTAATCATTGTAAGTTTAAATCAACTATCATTTAAATTAATGCTGAATTTGTTCTACTAGTTTAATTATACCTCTGATGATGATAAATTCCATAAAATTCCAGTTACTAACTCTCTTATTTCATTATCAGGTGTTTTCCTGAGAAGTTGGACAAGTGTAGGAATGCCTCCAGCATTACGTATTGCTCTCTGTTCAAAATATAACATTAAAAAACTGAAAATAGAATATGTTACAAAGAATTAATATTTAGAGATAACTAACCTTATTTTCTTCGTTCTGTCGCCCAAAAGACAAGTTTCTAAGAGCTCCACATGCATTTCTTTGAATTTCAGGTATTTCTTGATTGAGCAAATCAACTAATTGTGGAATGCCTCCAAGGACTCTGGTTAAAAAAAAAATATATATATATGTAATTAAACCTAATAACATGTTATAGAAAAAATTATTTCNTTTCGTTTCTCTGGGCCGCATTGGAAGAAGTCATGGAGTTATTTGCATGCAGTTTCAGTAATAAATAGTAAAGAAATAAAAATAATACTTTAAGACTGGGGTGTCCAACCTTTTTGTTTCTCTGGGCCACATTGGAAGAAGTCATAGAGTTCTGGGCCATAAGTATATTGTGGCCCAATCCTTAAATATACAAGTATATTTAAGGATTTACATGTCTAGATTATAGTAATAAATATTAAAACTTTATCACGAAAAAGGATATTTTAAAAAATTACTTCTACAGACACTTTTAATTTCTACTTACAAATAGACAAATTTATTATAAAGGAGACAAACAAAAATTTATTTGAAAAACACAAATATTTGTTTTATTCAACTAATATATTTATAAATAATATGTAGCCCAAAATGTAGCCAATGTGCCAAATGATATTTGTTACACCAAACTAAAAAAAGGGTAGCCAAATCTTGAAATGCTGAAAGGAATATTAATAAATAAAGCTACAGTTGGGATTCAAAAGGATTATAGACCCAAATTCGGGGAAAGGAGAGAAAAGTCAAAAAATAAAGAAGTGAGAAAGGTTAAATAGACCTTCTGTTATGCAAATATTGATTCTTAATTTTCCAACCTTTCTTACTTCTTTTTATCTTTTGGCCTTTCTCTCCTTTCCCCAAATTTGAGGCTATAATCCTTTGAGTCACAACTCCAGCTTCATTTAGTATTCCTCCTCATTCACACATTTCAAGTATTTAAAATATTTCCTTTCTATTAAAAAATAAAATATGTATAAAGGTTTATGGCTTTGTGAAACTTTTTTTTTGAGGTTTATGCTGTTGAAATAAATAAATAATAAAAAAATTTGTCGGTTTTGTTTACATGTTTATTGGGCCGCATTGGAACTTGCCTTGGGCCACAGGTTGGACACCCCTGCTTTAAGAGATCATTTACCCTTAAGATTAAATAAATAAGACTATGTGTAAAGAAAATTTTGGTTTCATTAACTCCAAAGTTAAAAAAGCAACAAGCAAAGGGATTTACTAGTCAACCATTCTAAACAAAATGTTTTTAGCATGATTATACTTAATAAAATGGCAAATATTAACAGAATGCCTAAATTTAATTTGAAAAGAAAAAAAAAAAAATTATAATAGTAACACTTGTACTTGAAATTTATAATGTAAAATTTTGGAACAGCATTATGATGTGTACCAATGTTACGCAAAATATTACTATAAAAATTTCATATATATTAATAGTGAACTTAATGTAAATTCTTTTGAGATTTGCCTAAATTGATAAAAATAACTAACTGATAACATTAAGCATGGGAAAGTAAGTAAGAATAGTCAGTGAAAAATTGTTTTATTGACTCTAGCATTAAAAAGGACAAGTTAAAACAATATTTAGTTGTTTTAACTTGGTTTACTGATTATAATTATTATTTTTATCTGTTTATCTGCATGTTCATAGTCTTTAACAGGACATAATTGAAATGAGAAATGCCAGCAGTTTAAACTATGGTATTGCAAAAACTAACAATTAAAATGATTAACCTTTAATGTTTAGTTATTGCTAGCTTAACCAATGCTTTAATTTGTTTGTAATATGCAATCATTATGTTGAGTCAATAGAATGAAAAGACAATACAGGTAGTTGTCAACTTATGACTGTAATTGGTTCCAAGGAACCAGTCAAACAGATTTGGTAGTAAGTTGGCTTTTACATTTTATGCCATTCTAATATAACTCTAAATATCGTTTTCTTATTTTTACACTCATTAATCTTATGTGGAAATTTTTAACACATATCTTATGAGCAAAATGATGGGACTGAGAATTTGAATAACTTAGACATATAAGCATCTCATATGGGAACATCAAAATAACTACATACTATACTGAGATAAAGTTAATAACATGCACTGAACCAATAACCAATGTGAAATAAAAATAAACAACCAAAAACAAACATTTTCTAACTCCTTCCAAGTTCTTCTTCAGGTTTTCAAACAGTAATTAGAAGGAACATCGAAAATCTTTTTTGGAACATAACTTTCGAACATAGACTTGAATAGCACATACAAAAATTCAAAAAATAAATAAACGTCACACATGCGTATTCCCATGCTTTAACCAAGTTTAAACTGCATTGTCAAGTAGAGCCTGCCAGGCCATCGACAAAATCATCTCTTTCCTGAAATTTATGCAAGTAGATGTGAAATTAGTTTTAAATATCCTCACTACCTCTAACCATTTAATGTGTTCCAGGTGGGGAGTAGAGAGTATGAATCTGGCCCAAGAGAAGTCTGCTACAATTTCAGGATCTGCAGCATGTGCAGAAGGTCATGGTACTTCTAGCATGTTGTATGTCAAATCTATGTTCTTGTATCCTGACTCTAATGGAGCATTTGGTTGACCCAATGTACAGTACATAAGATCCCTATCACATCTGTCATCCCTAATGTGGGACTCTATACACACCAGGAAGCCTGTTGAAATCGGGAAGGTCTTTCCTGTTACCTAGTAAGCTGAAAATGGAGGGGCATCTCTTGAAAGTAATACTAACCAGACATTTCTTTGCAATTCTAGTATATAAGGACTTTAAGTGCGGATTAAAAGTAAGTGTGATCCTTTCCACTATCTCATTCTGGTTATCTAGCAGCAAGTCAGCTGGGAGGGTAGATCCTGAATAAGTCCATTGATAACATTCAAACAAACTATATATAATGTTGGGATAACCATATGCAATGGCTAACTGTTCTATAACTCTTAACTCTGCATCCAAAGCTTGAGGGTAGAAGAACATCTTAACTGGGTTTTACTGTTGTCCCATATGGGTTAATATTTCTGTTTATACCACCAAGTGGATGATAGTGTAGTTTTTAACTATGATGGGAACTAGTTCTTGTTTAAAACCAAGGATTATGAAAAGAAAGTATAGTCATGAAAACTATTAAAAATCCTTGAAAGTAATAAGAGCAAACATTTCCAGAGGGCAGGCTACTGGGCAAACAGAGAAGAGAAAGATGAACTGTTCATCCAAAAGGTAAACTGTTGGTATGCTATTGCCATAACTTAATAAGAACCAAAATAAAATTTTATACAAAACATAAATAACAATCATCATCACAAATTATCATATGCCCAGTTGGACATAGCTTGAGGTGCCAGACATGGAAGTTGCTGAATCAAGTTGTTGCCAAGACATACCAGTCGGCAGTCATGATCACAGTCGTAAAGTTGATCAGTTGCAAGCCAATGACTACCTGTATAAGTTATTTTATTTACTTAAATCATTTTCTCATATTTTGTTAATATTGTTTAGATTAACCAGAATGAAGGACAGTAATAAAAGAAATGTTTTATTGATTGTAATTACACATATTTAAAGCTAAATCTAAATAAAACAATAGTGGTTATAATGCTAATTATTACTAGGAGACACACTAGAGAAAAATTTGCAAATCTTATGTTATTTTTTCCTCATGTAAAAGATATATAATCATACAAAACATATCCTTTATAACTAATATGTTACAATCTAATGTAAAAAAATTATTTTATATGTAAACTAATAAATGTTTTCTACACAATCCACAGTCTTCTAATCACATAATTCAGTATTTTTGAAATGCTGATAAAATATACTCATTTATAATAACAACTCACACAATAATAAATTCAAATAAAATTTAATTTATTATTATTTCATTCAGGCTTTTGTTCTGAATGTCATAAAATTATGGCTCTATCCAAAACTGACTAATTTAAATCAAATTACAGAATATCAGCTAATCATCTTTAAGTAGGAAAACGAGAAACAATTTTTTTTTTAAATTTAAATATAAAAACCTGAGCTAACTGAAATGTTAAGATCATCAATTAAGAAATAATATAAATCATTTTTATTTGTGATTTAAGTTAAATGTCATCATAGTGGAATCCAGAGAAAGCAGATCATCTTAATATGCAAATATATGCTGTAATTGACATGAACAGAGCAACAAGAAAGCTGTATACTAAGAACATAAACTTATATATTTGAAGAGAAGTGGTTTGACACAAGTTCATGACACCAGTATACTTAAGTTAATATCAGTCTTAATAAGCCTCCGCTGAAATTTAGAAATTTGTTTACAAATTTTTAAATTATAAGACTGAAGATTAAATTGGAATGTATCTGATCTTCTGATAAATTCTGTCACTTGCATTCCAATTTAATTTAAACTAAATTTTTCACTCTTTCTATTTATGACCTATGAACTTAGTTCATTTATTATTAATTATTTTTAAAATATCTTTAAATTTATAATTATATAAAATTCTGCAAACACGAAAAATAACTTTATATTCTTTTCTGCCATAAAATAAACAGGAATTTTTAATTTTCATTAATATTTAACATCATAGTAATAAGCATTTTAAAAATATTCATAAGTTGAAAATCTTAAACATATTTTTTACTTTTAATTATTCTTTATTTTCTCAAACTCATTACCATTATTTAGAAATTATCTAGTTCTAAACTTTAAAAATGATAAAATATTTTAAATGATTTTAATTTCTATTTTCATATCAGATGTTCTCACTACTAAGAATGAAGTTTATAATTTATTTTCACTTTTAAAATGTTTAATATCTAAATGAATTTTACAACATTCCAAGTAATTTTGAAAAATTATTAATTTCAAAATTTAAACTGTTAATATAACAATAAAACATCAATTTTAAATATTAGTTATGAAAATCATGAAACAATTTTTTAATTAGTGAAGGTAATTATTATTCTCTATTCCAGAATTACTAATAAGTGGAGAAAAGTACGATTTTAATAAAAGTTCTATTTAGAAATTAACAAATTCATACTTAAAAACATTGTAAATAAACAAAACATAACAGGATTAATTTGTTAAAAATGTTTAAATTAGTTTAAAAAACAATTTGTTTTAAAAATAAATATTTTAATATACCCAATTCTGTATTTACATGATAGATATGATTCCAATAAACCCACTTAAAAAAAGATACCGTCCACATGGTAAAAAGGAAAATTGGTTCAGAACCTCATATACCAGGAGAAATGATAACGTAAATAACTCTTATTATATTAATTGGTTTTAAAAAAAAATTTCAATTTTTGTTAATAAATCAGAAGAGGAACAATTGTAACTTACTTATCAGCAAGATTTCATAAATTTATATCTATTCACACAAATCTTATTTTCATTTTATTCTTCACTTGACTTATTCATTTAAATACCAATAGAATATTAAAACTATTCCATATTGAAAGAATTGTGTTGGATTTATTGATGCAATAAGGTAAAGCAACATACAGATGACCTACCAAGGGGACTTTCCAGGAGGATTTTATGGAAAACTGCCCATATTTAGATATTACAGATGTGAAGAAAATCCAGAAAACTCTATGCCAGTCAGGTGCAAATCCAGGACCAACAACCAACCAGTGTTCAGTGGCATTATCCACTCAGCCACTGGTGAGCTTGTATTGAAAGAAATCAATGGAAACATAATAAATCATCAAACTTCAAATTAAATTTTTTTTCTGACTGCTTCAATTGTGGGATAAAGTCAAAATTAAAAACTGATTGTCATTACACACATTCAAGTAAATCATAAAAACAGCCAAATCTTAAAATTTACTTGAGCCTGTGTAGCAATCATATGCAAATTCTGATAGCTAGATGGCTGAGATGGTTAAGGCATCAACTCTAGGACCCAAAATTGAATCCAGGCAAACTCCAGGAATTTTTCATGAGTGTATATGTTAGGTCATGTCTTTCACTATCTGGTTGCTCTCATTATGGACCTTGCTGATCCTGCAATGAAAAAGGCCCTCTTGTTAGGTGTATTAAATACTCGGTTCAGATGTCACGCCAACAGTTAACTTAATCAAAAACTTCGTTAAGAAACTTCAGACTATGAGGCATTAAATAAAATTAGAAGAAATATTTTAATCTTGCAAGCACTTTCAACGTAAATATGACGTACATATTTACGTTGAAAGAGCTTTCAAGATTAAAATATTTCTTCTAATTTTATTTAACGCCTCATAGTCTGAAGTTTCTTAATGAAGTTTTTGATTAAGTTAACTGTTGGCGTGACATCTGAACCGAGTATTTAATACACCTAACAAGAGGNCCAATAAACCCACTTAAAAAAAGATACCGTCCACATGGTAAAAAGGAAAATTGGTTCAGAACCTCATATACCAGGAGAAATGATAACGTAAATAACTCTTATTATATTAATTGGTTTTAAAAAAAAATTTCAATTTTTGTTAATAAATCAGAAGAGGAACAATTGTAACTTACTTATCAGCAAGATTTCATAAATTTATATCTATTCACACAAATCTTATTTTCATTTTATTCTTCACTTGACTTATTCATTTAAATACCAATAGAATATTAAAACTATTCCATATTGAAAGAATTGTGTTGGATTTATTGATGCAATAAGGTAAAGCAACATACAGATGACCTACCAAGGGGACTTTCCAGGAGGATTTTATGGAAAACTGCCCATATTTAGATATTACAGATGTGAAGAAAATCCAGAAAACTCTATGCCAGTCAGGTGCAAATCCAGGACCAACAACCAACCAGTGTTCAGTGGCATTATCCACTCAGCCACTGGTGAGCTTGTATTGAAAGAAATCAATGGAAACATAATAAATCATCAAACTTCAAATTAAATTTTTTTTCTGACTGCTTCAATTGTGGGATAAAGTCAAAATTAAAAACTGATTGTCATTACACACATTCAAGTAAATCATAAAAACAGCCAAATCTTAAAATTTACTTGAGCCTTAAATTCAAATTCTAAAAAATTATCTTTAAAAAATAAAAAAATTCAAGAGAGCACTTTTTTTGAAAAAGGAAGAAAATATTTTTTCTTAGAATTAAAATCAAATGAAGAATTTTAAAAAGGCAAATTTATTGAAATGTGTTAAATCAAAACATATGTAAAAAGATAATCTGACCATGTTAAATCAAAATTATGTAAAAAGAATTGGGTGTAAATAGATTTAAATACCAAATTATTATACAGATTAAAATTTAATAAAACAAATTTATACTTTACTCAAATAAAATATCTTAATTAATTAAATTAAAATTTAAAATTTTAATTAGTATTATCATCATTATAATTGTACTGAATATAAACATCTTTATTGTTTTTATTAAAAATTCAAAAATATAACATAAATAATAAAGATGAGATACTTTTTTGTTGGTTTTATATATTTTTAAAAATATCTTTAGAAAATTAGGCCAATCCATTTAATTAGAAAAATTTGAATAATATTTCTGTTAATGAAATTTAATCAGAAAAAATTTATTATACTTAATTCTTAAATTTATTTAAATACAGAATTATGTTTAAATTTAGGCAAAAAGACTCAAATAAAATTTAAAAATTTTAATTACATATTATAAAAAAAACACCAGAATATAAGTAAAAATAATCCTAGTTATGTTTTAAATATCTTATATAAATATTTCTATAAAATTATAGAATATAATTTTATATAAATAAGTTTACTTACCTAGTTTTTTGTTTAATATTATCATCCATATAACATAAATGCTGGAGATATGCTGCAGCATTTGCCCGAACAACATTATTTGGATGGCCTAGGAACTCTATTACCTCATGTAAATCTGGATCTCTCCACCTTACATCTTTCATTCAATAAAAAAACAAAAACTTTTATAGAAACATTTCATAAGTTATTAGTTAAACTGATGAAAAATAAATTACCTCTTCCTTCTCCATCAATACTTTCATTTTCTAAATGAGGATGCCGAGGTGGTGGAGGATACTGTCTGTCCATTGATGGAAGTGGCAAGCCAGCATTTTCTTCAGCAACTCTTGAAGGATGGGTGTAAGATGTGGGAGGTCTAATATGAGGTACTTGACTTTGTGGATGATCATCATAACTTGGGCGGCGATCTAGATACCCCTGAGGTGGTGGAGCTTCATATGGAGCATAACCAGGAGAAGTTGCAGGAATCTGAGTACCAGAATATCCATAGGGACCTAAAATAAAATATATTTTTCTGTATAAATATTATATTCTTTCTCTATCAAATGACCAAACAAATTTTAAAACTTTTCATAATGAATAAAAAAAAAAGCATCTTTTATTCATTCATTCCCATATTTTCCATTATAAACATAACTTTAAGTCATTTTAATATAATACAGTTTGTGATTATAAATTTTATAAATCTTAAAAAATTTGATATAACTAATAATTTTATTTGAAATATATAAATAAACTAATAAAAAAATTTATAACACTTTGTCTGTTAAGTTTATGGTTTTATATTATTTTTTCAAATTAACAAATAAATTTCAAATATAAGAACTTGTTGAATATTGAAATGTTATGTTTTATTTTCCAAATTTAATGATAAAATAGAAACTTTTCAAAATAATGAAAAAGCACTGATTTTTTGCAAATGATATACTGACAGAGAAAAATAAATATTAAGACTTTAAAAACAATTCATTAAATAGAAAGATAATACTGTATTGTTTGATATATCAATATTTACATACATCAAAAAGAGAGAAAGAAGATAATTTTTTGCTACATCTCTACTGAAAAAAAAAATTTAACAAATCAACATTAATTAATTACTGTAAAGTAAAAATTTTAAATTTAGTATTTCTAATGAATTCTATCAATATCTCATATATGTTTTTTGATATTTACATTTACAAAAAAAAAAAAAAAAAAATGTTTAATTTAATTTCAAAAGAATATCACTTACAATAAAAGTACTGTACTATTTTTAGTGAAAATTTTTGTTATAAAAACTTTTAAAGATCATCATTTGATATTTCTAAATATATTTTATTTTATTTTCATCTTATATTTCACAGGCTTTAAACACACTGAATGTCCATTATAATATATTAGCTATTTATATTATATAATAAAAATTTAAAATATTAGATTACAGTATTTAAATTTTTTATTCAGTTTAAAAGCTTCTTAGATGTAAATTAAACTAAGAATATTCAAAGAATAAATTATTTTTTAGCTTCAGTTAAGTTATCTATTAATATTATATCATTCTAATTATAAATATCAAAGAGTTTAAATACAGCATGTGATGAAGTTAAATTGAAGACATGTACTGTTAATGTTGAAAACGCTTTCAAATTCTAATTTCCTTTTAAATCTTTTTTATCTGACTTATTTAAATTATAAAATTATTATACAAACAAACTGCAAAAAAGACAAAATCTCAGAGCAAATAAAATAAAATAATTAAGTTAGTAACTACAGACTTCACCGCAAAAAAACAAGCTTAATCTTTATTAGCCAAGAAAAAGTACTCCCATCTAAATATCTTTTGATATTTCTTTTTACTTCAGTCTGAAACAATTCTTGTCTTCATGTTATTTTAATAATAAAAATAATCAATTTATGAAATAGGTTATAAACTATTCTATGTAAAAATTAAAGGAAAAGTTTGTTTAAACATAATAATTTTTTGCACAGATTTTTACAGTATTATTATTAAAATACATTATATATAAACTAATATATTAAACAAAATTAATTATTAATATAAAGACTTCATGTTTATATGCACACATGAACATAACAGCTATATATATATATATAGTCATTCTTTTATCACAGACAAATAAATTGGTTATGTGTATATTTTAATTTTAATAACAATATTGATGAGATAAAATATATTCATGCTTTTATAAAGTTATGAAATAATTTAAGTAATTTAAATAATAAAGTTTTATTCAATATGAACATAAATATGAAATACTTAAATTTAATTACACTTATCACTTATTATTCTATTCACAAGCATTATCAAAACATTTTTACTTGATAATCCATTAGCATAAAAATCTATTTAAGAGATGAAAATAATTATATAGTAAAATGTAAAAAGAAAGTGATGTGAATAATTAGATTATAAATAATACTCTATTATATAACTAAAAAACAATTTACAGATTAGTTTTAGAACTGATAGTTGATAAAAACTTATATTCTTACAGTCATTTAAAACTTTAGCAAAATACATTAGATGTACTACTTTATTAAAAAAAAATTATTTATCATAATGCAAATAAAAATGCATTATGTAATTATAATAAATTATATTACAAACTAAGCATATATAATTTTGATATGTAAAACTCATTTATTTTAATGAACTATTCCTGTTTATTCATGTAATCATACAATTCAATTGTGAAATTTTATCTATGTTAATATGTATATATATATTTCAAAACAATTAAATAAAGTTAAAAAGTTTAGCATTAAAAATATCTTACAGAATAAATGTCAGTGTTTTGTTTTTTCATTTTTTGACAAATTTGTCATAGTATATATCTTGCAAATAATATAAATTTACTTTAGGATTTCATAACCTTATTTATGATGAAAAACAAACCTAATGTGAGGCTCTGGACAGGTCCGAACCCTCACTAAAATACGCGGAAAATAATTGTTTTAGAGAAAAAATATTTAGTAGTTAGAAATAGATTTTTATTTTATGAAAACGCGACGCTAACTTCTAGACAATAGAAGAATGTAAGTCCGTCGACCATTTCCGGATTGGAGATCGAATTAAACTTCGATTTTGACCTCTCCCACGCCCCCGAAAGGTTTTGAATTGTCATCAGGTGACGACGGAGACCAATCGGAAAGGGGAATCTGAGAGAAAATGGATATAACCCCGGAAATTCGAGGACGCGACGGCTTCTTCTCCCGAAAGTTCCAAGTGACGGATCTGTTGTTGTGTGTGTGTCTCACACCCATCTTCGTCTCCATCTCCCGACCTCGGATCGACATCTTTCCATCAATGGAAGTCGACCGCATCGTCCCGGAGTCGTCGAGACATGATGGAATGGTTCATTCGCAAACAAGGGACACTCCTTCAAAATGGGACTATCTTGGAAAGGAGAGGAAGACCCAGAGGCCGCAGCCGCCGCAGAACTTCCAAGATCACAGTAATCTTGTAAGCTTCTTTCGTGTTTAA